TTTCTGTAAATGTCTTCTCGCACTTGTAGCACGCAAAATCTTTGCGATCTTCGTGGATTGTTTTTTCATGTCTGAGCAAATGACATTTTTGCGAAAATTTTTTCTCGCATTTTTCGCATGCAAAATCTTTGCGACCTTCGTGTACTACTTTTTGGTGTACTCTTAAACTGGCTGGGTATACAAATTTTGTGTTGCAATTATTGCATGCGTAATCTTTTTGACCGTAGTGTACTGCCTTTTGGTGTAAAAGCAAACTCTGTTTGAGTCCAAATTTTTGTTCGCACTTGTCACACGCATAATCTCTACGACCTTCATGGACAGTCTTTTGGTGCACAAGATAATCTGCTTTGCGTCCAAATTTCTTCTCACACTTGTCGCAAGCGTAATCTTTTCGACCGTCGTGTACTGTTTTTTGGTGTTGAATCAGGATCCATTCATAAAAAAATTTTTTCTCACACTTGTCGCATCCGTGATCTTTCCGGCCTTCGTGTACTGTTTTTTGATGGTACAGCAAACTTGATTTTCGTCCAAATTTCTGCTCGCATTTGTCACATGCGAAATCTTTGCAAGCCTCATGAATTGTTTTTATATGCACGAGCATATTCTGTTTATTTCCGAATCTCTTCGAGCATTCGTTGCATTCGAAATCTTTCCGACCTTCGTGTACTGTTTTTTGATGGTACAGCAAATTGTATTTTTGTCCAAATTTCTGCTCGCATTTGTCGCATGCGTAATCTTTTCTACCTTCGTGTACTGACTTTTGATGTTTGAGCATAACCGATTTTAGTCCAAACTGTTTCTCACACTTATCGCATACGTAATCTCTGCGACCTTCATGAACTGTCCTTTGGTGAACGAGCAATCGCTCTTTACGTCCATATTTCTTCTCGCACGTGTCACATGCGAAATCTTTCCGACCCTCGTGGGCTATTTCTTGGTGTCTGAGTAAATGTAGTTTGTGCCCGAATTTCTTTTCGCACCTGTCGCATGAGTGATCTTTCCGACTTTCATGTACGACTTTTTGGTGTTTGATTAAACTACATTTTAGTCCAAATTTTTTCTCACATTTGTCACATGCATAATCTTTGCAACCTTCGTGTACAGTCTTTTGATGATAGAGCAAATACGATTTTTGTGTAAATTTCTTCTCGCACTTGTCGCATGCGTATAAATCTTTGCGCCGTTCGTGTTCTATCTTTTCGCGTCGAATCAATTTCAATTGACACTTGTCGTGAACTATCTTTATGTGCACAAGTAAACTCTGTTTATTTCCGAATCTCTTCGCGCACCTTTCACATAAGTAATCTTTGAAAACTTCGTGGAATATCTTTTTGTGCTTGAGTAAAGTTGATTTACTTTCAAATTTTCTGTCACACTTATTGCATGAGTAATCATCACGATCTTTGTGCACTAATTTTTGGTGCGTAAGCAAACTCGATTTTTTTATAAATTTCTTCTTGCACTTGTCACATGCAATATTTTTGCTGCCTTTGTGTACCGATATTTGGTGTCTACTCAGATGACTTCGGAACTCAAATTTCTTTTCGCATTTGTCGCATGCATAATCTTTTATTTCATTGTGAATTATGTCTCGGTGTGTTATCGTGCTTGATTCTAGTGTAAATGCCTCTAGACGAACGTCGGAAACGTTTTTCTTGTCGTTTGAAACAACAATGTCATTTTCACTTAAATTATCTTTTGAGACAACTTTTCCAATTTTCTCCTCACTTTTATCCATTTTAGTTTCTGAATTAAACTACAGATTCTTCAATTTGTTTTATGAAAATCTTCTGGAATTATGGGTTGTTTCGTCGCTAAAGGCAACATTCAAACTAATTTCTCTTTACAATAAAAATGATCAGTGTGTCGAGAGACGATGACAAAATCGTCAATGATGATATTGTTTACAATTATGTTACCGATTTATCTGTTGATACATCTTTCGTACAATATTTAAATCAGTTCGAAAGTCTAACTTGACGACGATTTCTTCGAGAAATTTTCTATCCTTAAAAAACTAAGCACTTAAAAAAATTCATTGTCGTGTCGATTCAATTCATGCTCATACACTCGAATATTCATTCAAAAAGTTGCCACCCCCACGCTATGACATGATTGGCGTGCTCAATAACCATCCACTGCTCACAAAGGAGTAGAGAAGATGTGAACTATATTAAAATAGTTTCATTACCACTTCAGTATATATTGTAACTATTCCTTTTAGCAAATTCTCTTGCAACTTATAAACGAGCTTGCAGCACGATTCGCTGCATAGACTGTAGCTGTTATTATTACTTTGCTATACACATCCGTATGGAGTGTAAAACGAGTCGGTCGTAGAGAGCTATGGAGCGCGCAATGATTTTCCTTTTTACAATCTTCTCTCTCTAGAAACTCCTTTTCTGCGCTTTTACATGCATAATACAACGTCTAAGCAATAATGAAGTAAAGAAGGAGAAAAAAATTGTATGATAATTATTGGGTATATATAACGGCTATACAGAGGGCAGGTGGATGGAGAGAGAGAAAAAAGTCGCACGGCGCGCGCGAACCGGTGCTCGCTCTTTCCTCGGCATAAAACGATTTTCTCGTAAATATCAAGCAACGCGCGGCTAAAGAAGAAAAAAGAAGATGTACACAGGTAACAGCATGTACGAGCGCGCAATTAAACGTCAAGCTCATAGGAGTAGAGTAGTAATACAAGAAAGAAGGAAGGGAAAAAAATGAATAAATAAAAGCCCGACGAGACGTTGCTCGCGAGATCGAGAGAGAGAGAGAGATCCCTTGCACTTACATCTTGATCGGATGCACGCGCGCGCGTGGATGGATAAAAATTATTGGGTGAAAGGCCGCGTGATTATGCACGAGCGCGTCAATACCGGTAGTCCACGCGCGCACAGCAGCTTCTCTCTTCTCTCTTCTCTTCTCGGTGTGTTTTAGCCGATATGCAACCCTCTTCGTTTTTGCTGCTGCTGCTGTTTTCTGTTACACACTCGCACTGCACACGAGGGCCACAAACCGAAGAAAACACCCGACGGCGTGCCTCAGAGGTCTATTATTCATACATTTAAGTATTACGCGCTTGCATGGCATGCGCACAAGAGAGAGAGAGAGAACTCGTATATATATGCAGTACCGTGTATAGAAGAAAAAAAAAGGGAGAAGAGGAGGAGGACGAACAAGATGAGATATACCGAGTCGAAACAGAAGAGGAGAGCCTGGCACAGGACGACGACGACGACGATGATGGGCAAAAAATTATTATTTCGCGTGACTGGCGCGTGTTACGTCGTTTTGTATCCTATATACATATACATATAGCCGCTCGGGCGCGCGAGGGATATACATCATGATCATCGTCGTATATGCGCGGGGGCCCCCGCATGCCTCACACACAGACACAGACACGAGCGAGAACGCGGAATGACATGATTTTTAATTGAAGAAATTCTTTCTCTTTTAATATAAATTGCGATCACGCGTGCATCACGATGATGATGATTATTATTGCGATTATGATGATGCACAAGTTTGTAGTAGTAGTAGTAGGCGCTCGCGCGAGACACGGCAGAAATATATATACGTGTTGCAGCAGCAGGGTATGTGTTCTATGAGAAAAAGATTTCTCGCAACGAGAAAGAGAGAAGTCAGTCTCTCTTTCTCTCTGAGGCCTGGGCCCGTTGAGATGAAGAGAGAAACTCGTTTTCCTATATAGAAGGTAATTAAGGCTGGACACGAGGCTGCTGCTGCTCGGGCTAAAAAGAGCCTCGATGCCTGCCCTGTGCGCGCAGCGCAGGCTTATAAACTCGAGACGCGAGCTCCTTTTCTTTCTTTCTTTCGTCTTCTCGGTCCTCTTTTTCTTCTTCTTCTTCTTTTATAAATATACGAAGACCCTACGAAGAGAGCTTGGCTTTACCTCTCTCTTTCGCTCGCTCGCTCCTCTTTCGTCTCTGAAAATGATTAAACAAAAGAGAGGGTCTATTTCAAAAACGTCCGGTGGGCGGAAGAAGGAATCGCGCTCCCTTTTCCCCTCTCTGCTCTCTGATGCTTCTCTCGGTATTCTCCTTTCGCGCAAAACCACTTTTTTTTGCTGCTCTTCCTTCTTCTTCTTCTTCTTCTTCATCTTCTTCATTTACCTCCCTTCTTTCACTTTATACTCTATCATTTGCTCTTCTGCCTGTTGCTCTCCATGCGCGCGCGCGAACAAACTCCTCTCTTTCTCGTCCTCGTCGCGGTCTTCTTTTTTTCGCCTCGTCCTTCGTCAATCTTGGCCTGCCTCTTTCTTTCTTCTCTCTTATTTGGTCGTGTCGTGTAAAATTCTTCCTTTTTTTCTCTTTCGATTCTCTTCTTTCTTTTTCTTCTTCTTATTTTTTTTTTTACCCTCCTTTTTCTTCTTCTTCTCTCTCCTTCCGTGTATAGTATATTCTTGCCACGTTGGTCGTGAGTTTTCGGTTTGTTGTTTTTAATCTTGTCAGAGTTACGGCTCGTTCTCTCTCTCTCTCTCCCCCCGTTGCCGTCTTCTTCTCTTATTTATTTTTGTTATTTTAAGGAAAATAAATGTGAGCCTCGCCATATAATGGAGCATTGTAAGGGACAATGAATATTTTTCGCTGAGTTCAGCTACTGTATGTGGGTATTCGACGACACACACACAAACATATCGCGCTATACATTATATTGTAAGCCCTTCAATGCTGCTGGTGATTTGTTGCGGAGTTCATTGAAATCGTGATACATTGTGTATAATTTTTTAAAGCGTATCGAATAACCGCGTTGAAGAGGTGAAGGAGTACACTTCAGAAGACCATCAACGCTTTTTTGCTTTTTTTTTATACATAGACTTCAAGTTTTATTGTCAATAGTTCATTTACAATTCGTTTTCTTTCTTCCTTTTCATATTTTCGCTTGACGAAATAATAAAAGTATGTGACAATATTCCAACATTACTATATCAATATATTTTGGTTTTTTTCTTTTCTTTTAAATAATACAATATACACTTTTTTTTAAATATCTCAATGTACAATATTATTAGCTATAGCAATTTAATCAACAATAGACGAAACGTCAAAATAAAATTAAACAAATGCTTAACACTTTGAGACGCTTATTTACAAAATATACTTTCTCTGATGTAAAAATTATAGGGTGGAATGTGTAAGAAAAAAATCATTCAATGAAATCCTACGATAATACATCAAATAATTTCATTAAATCCCTTCTCATCTTGCGATAATTTTGAAATCGTATAGACTTTGTGTATTGGTATAAGTTCATTGGTACGTGACAATTATTGTGCTGGAATGATTGTTATTTTTTTATATTGATACGCTTCTTTTTTATGTATAAACCTACGTTATTCTCGTTGTAAATAAATCTATTCATCGTTCGCGGCATTAGGCTCGTATGTGAAACTATTCGACTCTACACAATCAAAATTACATCGATTCAAGTTCAGATTGTTTTTCTTTATAAAAACTATTTCACTTCTGGACTCTATGCAATTCTCTTTTTTATAATAATATATAATATGCGTTCATTTATTTATATTATTATTTAATCACGAAAGAAATCTATATTTTCATCATTTTTTTTACCAAAATCAATATAACAATGTAAATACTTCGAACACCTATAACTTTTATAAAAATCTAGTTATCGTCAAAATAGTGCGTTTAAAAACTATGAATTGATAACAGAAATGACTTTTTACAATCCAAGATTCGTTTAACGAATTTCTTGGATTGATTCAATTCATTGAGTAAAATAGCGATAAAATCTGATATTTTCAATTAGTATTAACGCGGATTAAATTTCAAAACGAAATCAAGATTTCCATAAAACAAAATATTCACGTGTTACAATTTCTCGGAGAACTATCGGTAGATTTAACGATATGATATTACTCTTATTTTTATTGCAGTCAATTCTATACCTAAATTTCTTTTAGAATTGAAATCCCGGCAAATACCAAGTCCAATATTTATCATTAAAAGTTTAAAAAAATTTAAACTGATAATGATGACGACGATCTTGATGCATTTGATTTAAGGCCAGACTTTGTTAAACAGATCCATGAACGAATCATAAATCATGAAAGTGATAGCTACATCCAAGCAAACTCTGCCCAATCTTGGCACTGTTCCTTTGTAGAATGCTCGTGGACCTTCATTCTGCCATATTTTCACGGCACAGTCCCAGCTGTTTTTGTACTTCGAAGCTTCCAAACCCTGAAATATTGGAATGATTAATTAAATGGCTTGAAAAAATCGAAAAATAAATATTCACGTGTCAACTTGATTACAAACCTGCATTCTTGTTTTGATTACGTCAATGGGCGTATTTCCATAAACTGAAGCGGCTCCTGCTATCGCACCAAAGGCACCAACCACTAACTTAGGAACAGGCTTGCTATTATCACCACCTTTGTACCAATCTTTACACGATTCCATAACAAAGAATCGAATGGCTTGATTTGAACCCTGTTTGATCATTGTCGGTCCTAAACCTTGATAAACTCCTCTGAAACCTAAATCACAATTGCAGGGTAAACAAATGGTTGAATATTTTTAAATCGAATGCATTGTTAAAATAATTTTTCAATGTATTTTTACCATGTTCTTTAAGAATGATTCCAACGCCATGGAAGAAGCCTTTGAATCTTGGGTTAGCTGATCTCTGATCGTTAATGAACTTAACTTTAACTGTCTCCATAGGAGTCACTGCTAAAACGGCTTCGCAAACGCCGGCGCACAAACCAGCGAGCAGTCGATTCTGAGCATTCAACTTGCCCTCCGAATCGACCAGTTGTTTCTTGACCGTTTCAAAAGATCCAAATCTCACAGCGGATTTGGGAATGGAGCCGTAGAGGAGTACGGATAGGCCTCGATAAAGACCGAAGAAACCGTGGCCTTTGACGGTTTTGTTGACGCAGTCCCAGATCCCGTTGAACTGTTTACCCGCTCCGGATTTGCCATCGAGCTGCAGCTGCGTTTTGACGTACTCGGTGGGGAATGTGATGCAGATTTCGATACCACCGGTAATGCCACCTGCAAAAGCGGAGCGAAGAAAATCGTTTATATCCAAGCGCAGAATGAGCAATACTCTTTATTTTTAAACATCAAAACGCAAGTTCAACGGCACGCGACTATTACCGGCGCAAATATTTTGGAATTCTTTCTCGCGTCTTCGTGAAATGTATTTCAAGCTTCGCGCTTCTAAGCTCTCTATTCGTTGATTCGAGCATTTATACTTTTGACGATTACTGCGTTTCGTTCGAGCTTGTTTCCGGCTGCGTATATAATAAAACCTCTTGATTTCGTGTAAGTAAAGTACTTCTCTCGCGTTATATTCACGAAAAAGATCCGTACGGTCTTTCGATATACTTTCTATTGAAATAGAGCCTCGCATTCACGCATAAAATCAGCATCTATTTTTGGCCTCCTCTAATCAGTAACTGTACATTTTCTCGAGTACATTCGCGCGTACTCGTTGTATGCTTCACTTTTTTTTTTCAATAAATTCAGATTATAGCTGTATTAGCGAAGCGAGGAAGGGGCACATCGAGCGCGCATAATTTTACGTGTAATTACGAAACGACGGCAAATTATTGTACTCGAGAACTCGACAATTTTTTTATCTCTAAAAAGTATGTTATTTTCTTATTTTTTTTTTTTTTTTGTTATTCTCATTTCTTTTTTTCCCAGTGTCATCGTCCATAACGAGGCGGCGACTGCGATGAAATTTTTCGCCGGACGCGCGCAAATAGGCGCAAGGTCTTTCTCGTTAAAACAAACATTTTATCGTCCCGTTGATGGTTGTGCACAGCTGCACACAATAATACAAATTCCAAACGAAGTTTAAGAGTTCCATGCGCGAGCGCAAAAATAGAAAGTTTATTTGGAAAATGCAACGACGACGACGATGATACGCGCGTACTTTATTATATCCTCCGAAACGCGCGTGTTTGTTATATTATATACTTATACAACGGAGCAGCATCGGTTTCTTATTTTGAAATGCGACCGCGACGAACACAAAGCAGCAGCAGACGGCTTATGTGTACCGGTCAGAGGTTAAACAGTCGTAAACATGCAATGTATTATAAGAAAAGTGCTTGACAGCCTGATGTATGTATATATGTGCAAAGTGTGGTGTGCGCGTGTGTGTGCTGCAGCATGCAGTTTTGTATGCACATGCGTGTGTGTGTTGCGTGCGTCAGTGTGCGTAGGTGTGTATATAAGTAAACGAAAGAGAAAGAAAGAGAGCGAGAAATAATAGCATATTAAAGGAGCGTGTCAGAGGAATGATAATCCACAATGCGATTCATTGCGTGGGTGCGGAAATTGTTCGATGAAAGAAATAGGATTATTTTTATTTTTTATGCAAGCTATGGTAATGATGGAAATGAATGGAAAAAGCCATTGAAAAAATTACACGCGGCTCCGTTCCAGCGATGTAGCATGTATCACCTTATCGGCGATCGATATTCCCTCCCTTCTCCGCGCGCGCGCAGCCTACGATACGATATACGAAAGCCGCGATGCTCCGAAACTCGCGTAGTTTGTTTGGGTTAGAACAAAAAGAAAAAAAAAACTTATCGGCTCGCGAAGAAACACGTGTGCACAAAAGTAATTTTTTCTACGACAAGTACTCAAACGATTCGAGGGGAGAAAAAAAAGTATGTACCGCATAGTACTAACCGGCTATGATGCCTTTGAGGCCGACGTTGCCAGCGGGAGCAGCGGCAGCTGCAGCATTGTTTTCCATCCACGGCCTGCTGGGATACAGCAGCGAATTGGATCCTTGGCGCTTTCTCGCCTCCGTTTGTTTAACCAGCCAGGACACGTCCATCTTGTTTTAATTATATTCTCTGTTTTTTTTTTTCAACAAAATTTTCCGAACGCGAAATATATCGCGAGCCGAAGAGTATATAACGATAAGCCGCACGCACGGTGGTGCCGCGTATATATAGTGTAGTTGTTATACGGCGCTTTTGTAAACACACACTCACTGACTGCTCCTCTCTACAGCACTCGCGGCTCGTGCGCGTATGACGACTACTTGGTCGGTGCTGCTGTATCAGCGGGCTATATTATAACGCAAAAGCCGCGACGCCGTATACACAAGTCCGCGTGTGTTGTGACATCGACTACCGTACGACGAGGGGGTTTGGTTTTCTCTCTTTAGCTCCGGTTATGTATAGTGGCGGGGATGGGGGACTCCAGACTCCGCGTTAGGTGCCTGTGCAGCAGCTCGGGGATTTGTCGTCACGAGTATCGTACGACTATTAATCTATCGGCTGTTTTTTACTGTATAAACGCACGCACACACAAGCGCGCGACACACGTACGGCACATATATAGAGGAGAGAGAAAGTACACGCACGTACGAGGTGTGATGCAAGGATTCTTTTCTATTCCTACCTATTTAGCGCGCCAAACGATTACAATATCAATGAAGTAGACTCCGTTTTTGTTTTTTTAATATACGACGCAAAATAAAAGTATAATAATAATAAAAAATAAGGCCTGCTGCAACGACGAGACGCGCGCGACGCGATGCGCCGGCCTCCTTGTCACATACTACTACTGCGGCTGGTATGGATAGAGGTGGCCGCGGGATCTGCAGGCGAGACTTCTGCAGTCCGCTGCTATACTGCTGCTGCTGCTGCAGCTCGCAGGCAAACAACAACGAGCAGCCGCTTTCTCGCGTGCTACGTTCATAAACGCCGGTAGTATGGATCGGTGTGGCTGTATGCGTTTATGGCCCCTCCATAGAACTCGCCATCACATGAATGTGTATATTGCAACATCGCACCTATACACATATCTACAATGTGTATCGTACGAATGACTTTGATACTTCTGAGAGAAAATATCACAAGGTTTTCTTCTTTATTTTTTTCGATTTTTCGGTGAAAAAAAAAACAAAGATTATTATGAAGCGCTCGATCTGCGGTTTCAACGCGAGGCTGTCGATCACAGAGTGAGAGAGGGGCCCCAAAAAAGAACTCCGACTTGCACGCCAGGCCGATCGCTTGTAAAGCGCTCTTATCGCGCGTCGTGCATCGATTATAAATGCCACGATGAGTTTCGCTTTTTTTCTCTCCCTCTCACGCACACACTCCTATAAGGAGATGATGCAATGTTATTTCTCGCGTCCGTACGCCGCGTTGTAAATTGATTTACGCAACCGCAAGTGCGTAAGTAGATACAACCTGTTGTGTCCGTGTGTTTGTGTATGTATTATAATATCTCGCGCGTAACATTAAATATAAAAACTCGAATCGAGAGTTTATGCGTTGAAGAAAGAGAGAGAAAATTATCAAGCCATGTTTTTTTCTTCTCTCTCTCTCTCTCTCTCTCTCTCTCTCTCTCTCTCTCTCTCTCTCTCTCTCTCATCGATTCAAATTCGACGCCCTGTATACTAACGAGATACGTAATATACTTTCTTCGATGCGTCGCACGCGCGCGCGACTTCTGGAAAATCAGATCTCTCGTTATTTTTAACGAAGTGCATTCCCCGAAGGCCAGGGCGTGTGTATCGTACGATCGGGACCGCATAAAAATATCATTATACTCCAAAGTATATGTGATATGTTTCTCGACGTGATTTTTCTTCTTCGGTGCGCTCTCGTCGGGTGACTTTTTCAAAAATCAAAAAATAAAGAAAAGCAGAACGTGCGTTAGAAGTAATGTATGAAATGAACACGAGCGCGCGAGGGCGGCAGCGACGTGTGCCTATTTATAAAAATAGCCACTGTATATAGCGATATATGCATTATTGATATAGTATACGAGAAGCACCGATTCATACCGGAACTGCCGAGTTCGGTCGATGATGAAGTTCGCGTGTGGTAATCAGCGAATTTATTGGAGTCAATTCGCATATTAATTTATCTGTAAATTAGGCTACTTACTGTAAGCCTCTCGTCATTCACAAGTCACGTCTGTAAAAAATCTCGAGTGCACTTTGATTCGTGCCGTCTGCTTATCTGTCATCTTGCGCATTATCGGCATGTGCAAACAAATATTTGGCGAGCTTTTGAGATTTTCGCTCGACTTACTCACATCTATCACGTGAACAAAGATGTTAGCGGAAATTTTTCAAAGCATGAAAAAAAAAAATAAATAGACAGCTTGTACCATTTAAAAATTATTATCATTTTATATTTAATCCTTGTGCATACCATATCGAAAACATACTTTTTAGAAATTACATTATTCTTCGTGAGCTTCGTTACGAAGCTCGATTTTGACGCGTTGCTTACATTATACAATAGCGTTTCGTACTTATGCATCGTAGTGCCGCACTATATGTAAATATTTTTTTTTCGTTAATTATTTAACGTCTACACACCATCTGTTCCTCGCCTTGAGAGTCTCGGAGACCGATTAATGAACGGTACACAATAAGTAGTAGTATATATCTATGTTTGAATAGCAGTATAAAGTCGCGACGTGCGCTCGAGCGCGCGCCGCACGTGTTTAACATACAAAAACTTATGCAATCGACAATTGAGTCAAAGTTTTTGTGCAACTAGACATTTTAGCATTATTATTTTTCGCAGGCTGTTCACCTCGAAACTTCTAATACATCAATATTCTTTTTTTTCTCTTAACAGGCATCGAAAGATGCTCGTATTAATCGTCCCAATGATTATTGTATAGTTGTAATTACACTAATAGATTCAAGATTATAATGTTACTCGTTTCATCTGTTGCTACCGTTACATTACATTATTCGAATGTCCAACGCTTATCCATTAATTGAGCAATATTGTTTGCCATAGACAGTTTTTTTAAGCTATTGCAATAACATATTTAATACAAAAAACTCTTGGACATAATAACTAATTTTCAAGACTTTGTCATTATAGAAAAATTACACGTTTATCGAATTGAAAAATACATCTCAAAATGAATTTTTACTTAATTAGACAATAGAAACTCCAATAAAAAATTGATGACTCGAATGATCATCGTTCAATGTTTGCACATAGTATTTACATATACTTGTCCATCTTTACTTTATATTTGTGGCAGTCCCAAAAAGACATGAAAGTTGATGAATGCAAGACAATTTCAATCATTTCAGTTGATTTGAGGTGGCTTATCAAGGAATATTTCCATTACAAGCACCTATTCACCCCTGCTTCTACCAACCCGGAGTTGTATTCGCTAATCGCCGCATACGTCTGTAAATAATTGAATGGACAATGAGATTAATATTTAAAATTCATGAAAAAAAAATCTATTACAAAACTGTAGAGTGCATAAATAATCTACCTGGTATTTCTGTCTTGATCTCTTATTTTCTTTTCCATCTCCGCATCTGTCAAAGTTTCAAGGAATGGAGCCCAAATATCAGATTCTGATGGTGGTCTGAATGGAACTTCAACAGTTGGCAGCGGAGCTTCAGAGAAAGCATAAGTACGCTGATGCCACGATAATTGACCTCTTATGCTGTAAAATATTTTTGTATTAATGTCAAGTAACTAACTAAAAATATTGATACTAATATAATGAAAAGAATGTTAACATGATTAGTACCTGTAAGCAATAGCTGTAACAAACTCTCCTCCAAGACCCAACTCTGCGCAAAGCTTCATGGCAAATTTTTCTGGATTATTATCTTTTTCAGACATGTCCCATTCAACTTGATCAACCAGTGATGTATTTCCAACATGTATATTAAGTTTTATAATTACTCGTTGATCACACTGTTCTTCTGTTACTTGTTCTGGTGGATAAGCTTCTATTTGCTGCCTAATTGCTTGGGCAATAGCTGGAACAAATGTCAATGGATTCAAATCCAAGTCATCGCATAAAACTTCTGCAAATTGCTCTGGAGTTATGAGAGTTTCTGAAATAGAAAATTAATTATCATGATGTGTCAAGTAATTCATACGAAAATTCTATTTATTTTTCATACCATTTTTGTTCCATGTAAAAGTATCTCTCAATTTTTGTCCCTCAATTTCCATATCTAAACGGATAGGCACAAGATGTTCATTTTGACCTGCATTTTCTAAATTTGCAGCTGGCTCTGTATCATCAAAACTAGAAAAAATAAGTTGATGAATTCATTCAAAAGTTAGTAAATACCAATTAAAAATGAATAATGTAACTTACCAAAGTGGAAAAGTTCTAACTTTTTTGTTGTGAACCCTATTTCTATTGATTGGAGTAGCTTGCGGAACTGCGTCCAAGTGTGAACTGTTGGGCAAACTGGGTACCCATGACATATTCTTTTTTTGCTTTCCTTCTCTTGGAGCCGGTGGCTCGGTAGAGTGCACAGACACAGCTTTGTACTTCTCATCGTTACCTTCAATGATGTCTTCGACTTCGCTAGCTCTGAGAAGCGATACACTGGATGCAAGTACGTGCTGGCTCAGACCCAATTCTATGAGCTTTTTTCTCTCGTCATTTGTGATTGATCTCCTGAACATTCCAGGATATCGTTTGTACAGAGAGCCTCTGAAGAGTCGGAGATAGTTTCCGACCTCCGAGCCAATGCAATAGTACTCTCCATTTTCCTCAACTTGAAAACTTATAGGCTTGTCGCCGTAAGTTCTAAGAGCCATTTTTGACAGCCGAAATGTTAAGGAATCCTTATCAACAAATGCTAGAAAAAAATAACAAACGAATCGATTACAAGTACGAACAACAATTACCTTAATCAATGTTTCAATGAATAACAAAACAATCATTTGTCAATCTACTTGAGCCTCATAACGACACGTAAAATTCTTAACAAAGATCATCGGCTACTGCGGGATCATCTGTGTTTTCGAGTTGAAACACTTACCAGAGTTTTTTACACCAGTGTAAGATCCTCTTTGCTTATTGAAAACTACACAAAACAAATCAACACAATCAACTTCATACGCGAATTACAACAGAATTTAACCTCACTAATTCTTATGTGTCAATCAAAAGCCGACTGCCGGACAATGTTTGTGTGTATGCCCACTGCTGCCAACGTCGATTCGCGACAAGAGAGCATTCTACATAGTCAGTTTGGCCAACGCATAAAGAGAAGATTTTCGAATATCAAATTTCTTATGACACATGGTTAGAATTCCTGAAAGACATGCACCGTCCTTTTACATTTTTGGAGTAAAATGAGCAACTCCAACGTATAGACTATACAATTTTACATTTTTTTGTAGTTTAATTTCAGCGCAGTCCAAGAGATAACGGCGAAACAAATGTAGGCGGTCATTAATAGCGAGTCTTCGATTCTCGTAAAAAGTCGAGGCATTTTCTAAAAAGGAAAATTTATCTTTGCTCAGCTGCGTTTATTTATATACAGTAATTGTTAGTGCGTGCACACGCCAATTACGTACGATCGAGCGTGGAGCAACTATTGTTTTTTTATACAGAAAACTATTTATTATGAAATGCAAGTGAAAGAGATCGAGCGAGAGAGAAAACTCATATTTCTACACGCGCACGCGAAGAATGAAAATAAAAGTCATTTCGGTCGTTAATATCCGTGCATAAAATATATATAACAATTTTCCTGTGTATACATAAATCGCAACAATGGGTACACAACTAAAGGAGCGCGCAGGATATTGGAGCGCCTACGGCAATAGGCCGTATGTATACTGCTGCACAATTGCAATTGCTGTATGTTCATAGTATAGTAGGAATTGTGCTGTATGTGTTCACGAGCTGCAATTCGTATTGCGATGGTGCACCGACGCACAGCAACAACAAAGGCTCTTGTCCTGTAGAGAGTGCGGGCACGACAAGTGGTTCCGTTTGATTAAATATATGAGCAAGAGGAATGGTCGCACTGCAGCCTCTTCGAAATTTTAACCCACATATTTTTTAATGATATAAGAAACTTCTTCTGACAGTCAAAGATTTTTCTGAAAAAGTTGGCAGAGGTTTCTTTAAATAGTCCAAAAAACTCTGAATTTTTTTAGATTTTTCAGGGCCTCATAGAAATTTATTGAAAATTTCAAAAATGTATTTCTGGCTATTTGAGTTGATACTAATCACTAAGCTTGAAAATTTTGAATCTAGTCTTCTTTGAAAAGTTAGTTTATATGTTTGATGGTTTGTTAATTTAATGTAAGTTGAGTAAAATTATTAGTTATTAAATTCTCGTTCCAGTTATGTAAATCATTGTTCTATGTATTAAACAAACTTATGTCAATCATAGAATAGAATGACTAATGAAAATTCATAATTTAAAAAGAGAAAGAAAAAAAATTGTGTTTTATAGAGTAATGAGAGGTAAAGTAGAATATTATATTAATTAAATTGTAATTGTATGTCTTAAGTATACGATGAAAAATGTTAATTTATGATTCATACAAATCAATCAAGCATCTATCTAGAATATACTAATTTTTATTTTTAATGTATGAAAAGAGATGAAGGATACATTAAGTTTCATCAATATCACACAAAAATAAAATGTCCTCCTGACTGAATGTATGTTACGTTTACCATAATTTAAAATCATAAATAAAAAGGAATAGAATTGTAACTCAACTTGAAAAATGAATCTATTTTTTGTTATTACCATTACAATTAAAGATTTAGTTGAAATTCAATGCAACATCATAGAGCATCATTTGTGAATGTCATATGTAAATAATGAGTCAAACAGATTTTTATAAAGTTTTTTTATTTTGCTTACGTTTTGCCTAGAAGTAAGTACATTGCAATGAATGTATTACTTCTACGAATCAACAAGTGCTATAAATATGTATTTAATACAAATAATAACACATGATTGATTGGAATATATGATCTTCATATTTACACGATATTGAATAATTCAAATGTAAAATTATTCATTCTCTTCAGAGCGAAGACGTGCATTGGCATTAGTAACGCGGATGGAGAGTTGTTGAGCTCTTTCAACAATTGCCTTGCGCTTCTTGCTGCTGACAGCGTGGGCGATTTCAGCGCAATACTTGCGATTCTGCATCATCAGCACTTCCAATTCCTGCAAAAGTTAATTTTATTTTAGATATAAATTATACAATAAGCACCAAGGAGAAATACGCATTGTAGGTCACTTTTAGAAAAAGTGACGTTAGATCAATCTATGAAAAAACTTACTTTCACGTTGTGAACGAGCATCTTTCTGAAGCCGGTGGGAAGCATATGACGAGTTTTTTTGTTAGATCCATAACCAATGTTGGGCATTAGGTACTGGCCCTTAAAACGCCTGCGAACTCTGTTATCAATACCCTTGGGTTTCCTCCAGTTTCTCTGTAAAACAATTCAGCGTTAAAATGTGTCGCAACTATGGTGCTGTAGAAAAGTAGTGCAAGTTGAACCAACCTTAAGTTTGTCATATCGGTCAGATTGATGTCTAGTAAACTTCTTTGTCCTCTTCTTGACAATCGTCGGGCGGTATACTGGTCGGATCGACATGGTTTACTGCAATACAAAAAATAAATATTAACTTTGATGACAGGGATACTTCTAACCTAAAACCGGACACGCGAAAAGTGGCAAAGTTTCTTAAAAAAAAGAATCAATGGTTTCGAATGTAACTTTCACCGCATTGCCGTATCGGTGTTCTTTTAATAATTTACAAAAATTAATTTTCTCGCTAAAACTCACCCTGTGATTAATATCCTCCTTCACAAGTAACAAAATTAGTACCTACCGTACGTTGAGTCGAGACTGCTGAGAGAGCAGTTGCGGTTGCAGTAGACGCACGTGGTGGATCGCTGCGCGCCGCGCGGTTGGAATCGGTCGATCCCAGCGCATACATCTGGCGCCTTTTTTCAAATGTGCTTGTTTCGAAAATGGAATTTATTTTTAATCGTCGTTTTTATACACGATGAGAGAACATTGGAGGAATTCATAATTACCATTGCAACAATCTTGCGGAAAGGTAGATTTGTAAAATTGTCATACGCGAGCGATGCTTTTTTATCATTATAGGTTTATGAAGACGACTCTCTCTTCTGAATGTTTTTGCACCCGAATTCAAGATTGAGGTGGATTAAATAAATAATACGAATTTTTGCAAATGATTTTTAGCTTTATCACCATTGTGCACTGTATTAATTTCTTTCTGTATCAATTCCAAATTTAATACTTTTTTTTTCAAAATAACCGAATCGAAGTGCAAAAGAACGGGCACTTTTTTAATATCTCAATTATTTCAGTAACTAACTATAGTCCATGTTTCTCGTATGTCACATTTTAATAATCTTTCGGTAATGCCTCAGAGGCATGTATTTGTAGTACAATATAAGTGTGCATGTGCCGCGTGTATATGTGTGTGTGTGCGTTCAACTCTGCGCTTGGCTGCGCTGTGCAAGCTGCGCGCTCACATATACATTTTCAGTCTCCTCGATACTCCATAGCTAAGCGTTCTCTATACATACATAGATATACAGCATCGTCATACTATATGCTCGGCCTGCATGCGCTATGTGTGCAGTCTACATGTTACATATAGGCAGCACAGCATAGACCGAGTGCCGACTGGTGGCGCGCGCGCATAAGCCCGACTCGCTTCGGAGGTATTGGGGATTAAACGATGCACGTCGCGCCACCATCGGTCGATTGGTGAACCCTCGAGCCGCCCGAAAATCCACAAAATAACACGCAAAAATGATGAAATTAATTAATTGCAAATTATCCCAAGTGATATATGCATGAAATTTAATTGAAAATCAAAGCTTATGTGATAACAAATTTATATAAAAAAAATCTCATTGTAAACTTCTTCTAATTTTGAATTATCGTATACTGTAAATCAAGCTGTATACGTCGGAGATTGAAGTTTGAGAGTAGGTATATGCTAAGACGTCTGCTCGCAGCTGAAGCATACGCAAGCTCGTGTTTGAGTTCGTATAAAATACACAGGTTTGAGTAAACAAATACGATGTCGAAAAAAAACAATGTNGCACCGTCTGGATTGACTACATTTGTAAGTAAAGCTTATGGAGGAAGAGTGTCAGATAAACAAATCTTTCTACGCTCAAGACTCTTGGACCGACTTAAAAGAGGTGTGGATGCAGTGATGGTCGATAAAGGATTTTTAATTGATAAAGAATGCGCTGAGCTGGGCATAAAGTTAATTAGACCTCCATTTCTCAGAAAAAATTCTCAATTTACTCCTCAACAGTCAACATCAAATAGAGATATAGCTTCAGCTCGAGTTCATGTAGAGAGAAAAATTCAACGAATCAGACAATTCAATATTTTAAGATTACCTCTAGAAACTACAATCATACCTTATATTGATTTAATTATGAATGTTGTATGCGCACTCACAAATTTACAGACACCTATTTTGAGTGCAGATAAATTTATAGCTTATGATAATTAAAAATAATGTGAACAAAAGTTATTTTGTATTTTTATTTTCATTTATTATTCTAAAATATTATGAACAAACATAATTCATTATTCTTTGGTTTGGTTAACTGAACAAACTTCTCAACTAAATATACTTTTCTCTAATACTGGTAAAATATTTAAAAAGTAAGCATCATGTAACGAATAAAACATATTCAAAGCAAAGTCCTTATCGTACAATACTTCTAAAACAACAATGGAATCGTCAAAGGAAGAAAAAATTATAAAATGACATTTTGACAGCCCTAAAAGTAACATACCAAGCTGGATTTGGCCATAATACTTGTGATTATTTTTTAAAATTATTGAACCATCAGTTTGAACACTCAAAAATGGCAAATGTTGTAACAACAGATTTGCAGACATTTTTTTCCCATCAATAGGGCATTTAACTTCTACCAAACAATTTTGTTCAACGTTTATGCCATCTGCACTATATCCCAGCCAAGGCACTTTAGGATGTACAAAAAAACCTGCTTTGGAAATATTAAATCCAAATTGTTTGCTATAAATTTTCAATGCTACACTTTCATTGACGATTCCATGTGTGGTGTTGTCATTTCCTTTAAAATCAGAATTGAAAATTCTTAATACTTTTTTTTCCCAATCAGGATTTCTATTTGTACAGTAAGTGAAAATTTCGTAGCAAATGCTACCAGTAATTCTTTTTTTCCTTTCTTCGTGCCACACAGAATTATTTTGTCCTACGGTTTTAACAAAAATATTCACAGCTTCTTCATTTGTAATTGTAACACATTTCCAATAAAAATCCGATGAGATGTTGATTGTGGGTGGATCTGGCAAAATTTTATTTTCACTCAATAAAGATTTGGCGAGTTCGATGAATTCATTATTATTAATTATTATGACATTCATGCATTTTGTTGTTTGGCGTACTCTACTTATATGTATTGCACTTTCAGAGTTTGGTTGTGCTAAAATAATATATGCAAGTGAGTTAAATGAAAACACAGAAATTATTAACATATCAAAAAACTCTTACCTGAAGTCAATGTTTCAAAAAATATCTTCTTTAATTCATCTGAGACTTGATACTTAATTTTTGCATTTGGTGTATTAAAGTGACAATACTGATGTATGGGAATAATTTTTTGATACGGCAGATTTAAATGTTTCTTAACTTTGCCCCATTTCTGTCTTACGTCAGTGCAACTCAGTTCTTGTAAATTTTCTATCTGATATCTAAAATGATATATTGTTTATAAGTGTAACATAACAATATTACATTAAGTTTACACATGTAATTGAAACATTCATTAATCACCGCTTACCTGTTAACATAAAGTAATGAGCCAAAAATGTGTTTGCATTTTCCACCTGCCCCAGCTGGACACGTACAATGACAGCAAATAACTTTCTTACATTCAGAAACTTCAACTTTTAACGTAACTTCATGTGGTATATCATTAATTTTTGACGTTTGTGTCACATAGGAAACAATTAAGATCTCTTGATCGGTACGGTATTTGAATCCACATAAAACAATGTGATCCGCCAAGAAAATTTGCTCAGCTTCGATGAAAGGCCTTCTATAGTCACCCAATATTTCTAATATATCAAATAAACTTATTTCTAACTTTGGGAGATTCATTTTTACTTTTCTCTCTGCCTCGCGTTTGCAACAATAGCAAAAACAATTGCACATCGTCCATCAAGTTGAATCGGCGCGTCGGGTCGCGGACTGTCATCGTAACTTAATAATACGATAATTTAAAATTGGAAAAAGTTTACAATGAGATTTTTTTTTATATAAATTTGTTATCACATAAGCTTTGATTTTCAATTAAATTTCATGCATATATCACTCGGGATAATTTGCAATTAATTAATTTCATCATTTTTGCGTGTTATTTTGTGGATTTTCGGGCGGCTCGAGGGTTCACCAACCGACCGATGGTGGCGCGACGTGCATCGTTTAATCCCCAATAGAGTGAAACTCTCCTTTCGTTCGTCCGTGTGTGCTGCACTGCAGCGCTCCGCTGCTCCGCGCGCTTGATGTATATACTGTGTAGCCTATAGTACAGTATACTGTATATATACATATACACCTCCGACTCCGAATAATATCTGTCTCGCAGTCTTCTCTCTATCGCTCTGACAACTGCAGTAGCAGTGAGCAGCAGCAGCAACAGCCCACGGCCTCGCGTAGTAGTCGTATACACAGTCGTCGTCGTGTTCTGCAATCTTCATGTGCAGCGCGACGAGTGTGCAGTTGTGTGTGTACGTGTGCGCGTGCAGTTCGCGAGAAAAAAATAATAATAAATAATTGTTATTTATCCGTTAACGATACAACAACGCGCTGCCGCCGCCTCTATACGTAGCGCAGTGTGTTGATCCTGCATCCGTGCACACGCGAGTGAGTTGTATATGAGTATAATAACTGTGCGTCGACCGTCCGTCCGTGCACCCGTCGTGTTTCTATTATATTTATTATTATATATATAGTGTGCGCATCGTTGCACCGGTGCTCTCTCTCTGTCTATCTGCGTGCGTGTGTTCGCGACTCGTCGTCTTCTTCGGGGGTCATCGACTATATACATCGTGCACCAGCATAATAATTCGAGACTCGCGATCAATCCCCCGCGCGCTGCACGTCGTCGACGACGATGTAGCTCGTCGTCGCACTGTCATCGACCTAGGCGCCTGCAAGTGCACCGGACTCCGAATTTTCTCGTTTACGCGATGAAAGAGAGCGCTGCACGCTGCACGAGGTCGACAGCATCGATATGAGGACGAAAAAGGATGCGAAGGACTCTGCCTCGACGAGATCAGCAGCGTCGAAGAAGCAGTGGTGGTAGTGACATTGTCCAGCAGCTCTGTCACTCGTACCTGCGCCGATAGACGTACATACAGGTACATACACACAGGTATACTTCATCATCGTCGTTGTCGAAATTCCCGATTATCCCAGAGATCCCCGCGTAAGAGAAAAGAGTTGTATAGGCCTCCTGTTTGCTATGTGTATACGTGCCAGGTTGAGAAAGGCTTAACGGAGGCAACGAGAAAGAGAGAGAGAAATACCTAGAGTGAGTGAGAGAGAGAGAGAGAAAACAGGAGGGACCGTTCGCTCATTACCTCTTTCGTATTATGTATAGAAAATCGCCTATAGACATATAGACGCGAGACTGCCAAGTGCGTGGGTAGCTGTGTGTTTGTGTATATATGTGTTGGTGCGCAATTGCTGTATACACATACATACACTTGTATATTAAAATACAAATGTACAAGGTGTTTCTCTCCTCGACTTTTCTCATATATACCTACATTGTATATCTATATAGACTCGCTGCTATATAATATCGTATATATATATGTACGCGAGCTCTCTTGTCTCTCGCTCTGGTGGTGCTGCTGCTGTTACGGGGGTCACGTGACCCTTTCGGCGCACTGTTTACCAAAATGGAGAGAGAGACAGACAGACAGAAAGAAAAGAGAGCTGTCTAACTTTTATTGCATTATTATCGTATTCTCTCTCTCTCTCTCTCGCGCGCGCTCGATGCACACAACACGCCTCATGCTATATACGTGCAGTCGACGACGACGACGACGCAGAGATGACTTTAGCGATTATGTGTGCACTGCGCTCGTATAAATACGCCTGATATACACACATCTAACATCTAACGTCGCCGCCGCCGCCGCTGCATCAACTTTACATGCATAGGATATCGCGTCTCTCGCTCGTGTATACACATCGCATTATTATTACGCACGCATATTATTGCATATAGAGATGCCTACGCGATCTCTCGTTTAACGGGCGTAGAGAGAGAGAGAGAGATTTTCAAAGGTACCCGTTGTGTGTGGCACGAGACATGGGTATATAATTTATAAGCCGTGTGCAGTGTGCTGAGCTGTGTGCCTGCCTCGTTTCTCTCTATAATATTCTTATATAGAGTGCACAGTGAAAGTACCACATACTCGTGCACATGCACACGCGATATGCATATACACATGCGCACGTATATATATACATAGTAAACATCGCTGCCATGGGTCTATTCCGTTTTGAGGAGTTACAATAATACTCGATGGTTGGGCTGTTTACCTGTGTATGGGCTTGTATGCACTTTACATAGGTACATAGAGATGCAACAATAATAAGGTGCACGCGGTGGGGACCAGTAATAAAAATAGCGCGCCGCCTGCTGCTGCATGTGGTGGTAGAAAATTCATGCAGCAGCAGCAGCAGTAGCACACGTATATATACACATAGGTGCACCTATCCGATGCGATGTTGGATTTGGAGCAAAGCCGTGTGTCATGCATGTATGTGTGCGCGCTTAGAGAGAAAGAGAGAAGCTGCTGCTGATATACCACGAGAATCGTAGGATGTGTATGTGTGTGCGTGATCAGCGCTATGAGATTGCACTTATCATCGTTTCGCTCTGTTCGCGGGAGCGATATACGCGCCTCGTACTATACAGGAATTATTGTAGATTTAATGGCTTTCGAGCTTGTTTACCTTTTTTTTCCTGTCTTTTTTGAGGGGGGCGGCTTCGTGTATACGACGACGATGAGTCAAGGTTGATATTTGGGCGCGCGCGATCGTGTATTCGCGCCGGGTATTCTTTCGCGCGCGCAGTACACATGTTGTGTACCGTGTGTCATTTGATCGATGCCTCTTTTTTTTTTTTTTTTTTTTATTATATTTCGTTTATACCACTAAGTAACCCGGATGAAAGCGTGATTTATGGACGTCGCGCGCGCGATATCGAACATTACATTATATCGGCAGCTGCGATGACGAGCAGGACGAATTTTCGGAGCCTTTTTTTTTTAATTCCGAGTATTATATTTTACAGAGTACGTTAGATACAGTAACTCGATCGCTTTCTTCAACTAGATCGAGTAGCTATATACACCGAGCATTCTTTTTTTTTTCTTCATAATTACGAGTCACACGGCTCGGGTGCGAGCGAATTATCCAACAAATTACGGCGCGGCTAATTGTTACTATTTGCAATTACGTATAACTTCGTCTTGGAGTTGTAAAGGCGAGCGTTTAACGTTCGCGCGCATTTAAGCGGGAAAAGATTGATATAATTGATGGAATGATTTATCGGCACATCGGATGCGTGCATAATATCGGTCGAGTGCGACACTCGCGAGTGTTATATATATTGTACGTATATAGAGAATAGGTTCAAGGTCTTGACCGCGCGCGCGAATCACAGCACACATACGAGTACCTATATAATTCCATTATTTTGCGTACTTCCGAAAAGGAAATTGTCGTTATGTACCGATGAAACGTGCGCGACCTGTGAATTTATCGTCACGACTTCTTATATACCTGATTAATTTTGTTGTCTTTCATTAGACGTGGCAGATATTTTTTTTTAACTGCACTCGGCTCGTTATCCATTGCGAAATGCGCAGATGCTTCTTCTGCTTTGTTGAATAACATTTCATTATTTTCCTGTAAAACTCGACGAGAGAGAGAAAAAAAATTATGTGTATCTGCGCAACCTTCGAGGATCGGTAGAGATATATACCGAATGTTTATCTGCACAGCTGAGAAATGCTATTTGCACTTGATTTATGTACCGCCCTATTAATCAGATATGGCGAGAGAAGCGCATGAATTTACATCTCGGGAGGGAAAAAAAAAGATTCGATTTCTTACGGTGTACGTATATATAAGTATATCTAGGTTGCGAACGCAATGGCAGTTGGAAAAAATGTGCGCGAGAAGTCGTGGCAGTATTAAGTAGACGTTTTTTAATCGAGAATATATCTCTGGGATTTTCTCCGGTATCTCGTTAAGAGAACTCTATAACTAGCCAATTTATCCTTCGCGATCGATCGAATAATAAACCATTTATACAATTTTCGTCTATGATAGGATACTTTTTAACCGATGCGTTCGATTTTTATTTTTGCAGAACCCCCTGATAAGCAGCAGTTCGCTTCGAAGAAGCCAGAGAGATACGCGAATTTCGCCGATACACGATGTTCTTCAGTAAATACAAAAGGTAAGGACGCGTTTCTTTTATTACTTCGCGCGCCGCCGAAAGATAAAAACTCGAGAAATATCATAACCGATCGCGTGCTGTGTGCATTATCGCTGTTTTCATCGCCCGAGCAGCAGCAGCAGCAGCAGCAACAGCAGCGACAGCGACAGCAGGTGCGAACGCAGATGATCTCGACTGCAGCGCATCAAGCTCGAACTCGACGAGGATACGGCAGCAGCCACGGTAGCAGCAGCTGCTCGTCACGGTGTCGTTGCTCGCGTCGCCGTCGCATAGATGTTAATTCTATAGCAGCCAATCGGAGAGGCCATTAGTTTCACCTCCAAACATGGCCAGCAGTCAAGTGGAGTATCAGTGGTAAGTTCGTGGTACTTTTTCGGAAAAATTAAAGCAAAACTTTAAATCATCATCCGTCTCTGTCTTATAGGGCATATTCCATCATGGATTCGTCGCGGGTATCGACCTATCTGATATCCATCCTGCTGATCGTCTACGGGAGCTTTCGCTCGCTCAACATGGAGCAGGAGGCGCGCGAGCGCGAGAAGGAGAAGGAGCGGGCGAATCTGCTTACGGGCATGCCGAGCAACGGCGCCACCGCGGCCACGGAGAGCCAGCCCAAGGGCATACTGACCCTCGACACGATGCACGTGCTCTGTCTGCCGCTCGGCGCCTCCATATCGCTCCTCATCATGTTCTTCTTCTTCGACAGCATGCAGATGCTGTTCGCCATCTGTACGGCCAGTGAGTCGAGATATACTTTGATATATATACTTGATATACGGCAATAAAATAATGCAATAACGATGACATTTATTACCCCGCAGTCATGGCTACGGTGGCGCTGGCCTTCCTGCTGCTGCCCATGTGTCAATACATAATCCGTCCGTGCTCGGACGGCACCAAGATATCGTTCGGCGTCTGCGGCCGCTTCACCGGCGCCGAGCTGCTCTCGTTCTCGCTGAGCGTCAGCATCGTCTGCATCTGGGTGCTGACGGGCCACTGGCTGCTGATGGACGCGATGGGCATGGGCCTGTGCGTGGCCTTCATCGCCTTCGTCCGGCTGCCCAGCCTCAAGGTGTCCACGCTGCTGCTCACCGGTCTGCTGATCTACGACGTTTTCTGGGTCTTCTTCAGCTCGTACATCTTCAGTACGAACGTCATGGTGAAGGTAGGGGGAGCGACGAGGAGCTTCGACCCGTGTACAATCGGATGAAACGCCTTTCTCTGTATATCGACGTTATGTTTACACAACATCGGATACATTGGAAGCTTCCAAGTCGAAAAGCAGATCTCGTATTTTTTTTTCTTGACGTAACGCAACACCACCACCGTATAGAGCGCGTCGAGCAAAATTGTGTTTACGATGTATATATATTTATAAAAAGTGTCGATGCTCGCGAGTTTTGGAGTCGCGAGTCGCGCAATGCGCATTTATAATAAATATATTATACGATGTAGGAGCATAAAAGTACACGTGCTGTGTCGCGCGCGCTCGCGCGGCTGTGTATACACGCGTGCGATACACGAAATAATAATAGTACACCGCGGCGCATATACTATCTGCTGATTCGATGAACTTGAATAAATGCACCCGAGCGACTCTGCTGGCTCGGAAAAATATTTATGCAGACCGATCGCTTTCACGAGAATTCGAAAGATTACAAACACGCGGTGCAGGCAGAGCTAACGCTGCATTATATATATTGTATACAGGCAGGCGATCGACGTTTATTATTATTTTTTTTTTTCGATTCGCGAGCCGCAGTCATATATATCTAATTATGCGAGCGCCGTGATTTCAATCTTGGAAAATTGCACGGTTCGAGAGAGCTCGCGTATACACACATATAGGTGTATTATCGAGACCGAAAAAACATTTCGATCGCAGCTCATAGCTACTAGGCTTTTCATATCTATAGCGAGAGAGAGAGAATATCCCGATGCATTAATAGAGAGAATCCGAGCTAGGAGCGCTTAATCTATAATATGCGCGTGTGTGCATATATGTGCGCGAATCTTAATTAGAGTTTGAAAAGTCGTGAGCACGTCGTGCTCGCTGCGCGTCGACGTTTTCGCACTTGACCTATATATATGTACTAACATCGCGCGCGTCGCGATATACACGTTATCTGGATGTGTGTGTGCGGTTGCCGACTAATGAAAAAAGCAAAAAAAAAGGGAAGCAAATCGTGCCAAGATCAATGGGATGCTTATAAATATAATCAGCTCGCTCTAGCAGTGCAGGTATGCATACACACACATACATAATCCGATCGAAAGTCAAAACGAGCAGAGCAAATCAACACTTTCACCGTTTGTTTTGCGTTATAAGGGGCGTTATTATCGTCTTTGCGTGTTCGGTTATAAACACACACATGCAACTCTCCTGTATGTGTATCTGCCTGTATAATCACACTCGATTGATTTCGTGTCTAATTAAGTGAAAGCTGCGCCTATTTCGTTATATCGTTTTGTTTATTTTTTTTTTACTGCTGCTGCTGCTGCTGCTCATAGCTCTCGATCGGCGCGCTGCACCATTTAATCGCGCGCTTTATAGAAGCCTCGATGCAATTCTAAATCGGAGCAAGCGCCTATATAAAAGCTATATACTGTATATAGGAGACTATTTTTATCTCGATCGAGTAGTCATCGCGTCTCTCTCTCTCTCTCTCTCTCTCTTTATAGGTCGCTCAACTTTCGCCGCTCACTCGATGACATTATTATTTTTATTCATTATTTTTTACTTCGCACTTTAGGTAGCGACTCGAGCCGCCGACAATCCGGTGGGTCTCGTGGCCCGCCGTCTGCACCTCGGCGGCCAGGTGGCCCGCGAGGCCCCCAAGCTCTCGCTGCCCGGCAAGCTCGTGTTTCCCTCGATGCATCGCAGCGGCCACTTCTCCATGCTCGGCCTCGGCGACGTCGTGATGCCGGGCCTCCTGCTCTGCTTCGTGCTGCGCTACGACGCCTACAAGAAGTCGCAGCCGCTGCCCGGCGGCTGCGAGGCCGGAGTGCCGCCGCCGCGACACCTCAATCGCATCACCTACTTCCATTGCTCGCTCATCGGCTACTTCCTCGGACTGCTGACGGCGACCGTTAGCTCGGAGATATTCAAGGCGGCCCAGCCGGCGCTGCTCTACCTGGTGCCGTTCACGCTGCTACCGCTGCTCACCATGGCGTATCTCAAGGTATGCGCAGTGTGCAAAGCCTTTTTTTTGTTTTTTATTTTTCGCTTTTCTTTTCCATAGAAATATCGTTGTTGTTATTATTGTATCGATCGAGCTGCATCGCGGAAAAAATTCCTGATTGGCCATTGTGTCTATAATATTGTGCGCGCGCGGTGTTGATTTTTTTTTTTTTTTATTGTCCCTTTTCCCCGCCGCTGGTCGTCGTTGCGGACAAAACAATGAGCCGTTATTGTCTCTCTCTCTCTCTTTCTCGTTTAATTGAACGTATACATAAGGTGTATTTTTACAACGCGCGGCTAATTCGACTCTCGAGGCGCTGTCGCGATCGCAGATAAATCAACGATAATATTCATTTTTAATATCGCTATATACTTTATCGTTCGGGAATATTATATAGCTCGTTATAAAATTAACGTCGAACAAAAGTTTTTTTCTCTTTTCTTCCTTTTTCTTGAAAATCCACGCGACGACGAAAAGCCAATTTGCCGTATAGTGGTGTAAGCGCGTCGCGAAGTAAAACGTCGCGCGCGCGAAATAATAAGCCGGTGCGTGTGTATACAGAGAGACTTTCTCGGAGTCCAACGACCCGCGAAGCCCTGCATACTTTTTTTTTTCTTCCTCTCTTCGACCCACGGTCGTCGCCGCCGCCGCCGCTGCTCTACGTATACGGATAAACGAAATCAACACCTTAATACCATCCATCTTATAAACGTTTCGAGCCAAGTGTCGCTTTCTAAAAGCTCGCAAATACACGCGCATATATCTATATTTTTTTTTTTCTTCGAGTCTAAGCCCATAGTATTGTTGCTGTGTTTTTTTTTCTCTCTTTCTTAAAATTCTGTCTGTTTCCCGTTGTGCGCAGGGTGATTTACGTCGCATGTGGAGCGAGCCGTTTATAGTGCAGCAACAGTCCAAGCATTTGGAAGTTTGACAGCTATCCAGTTGGACGACCAGCCGACTCGCTCTATTACGGATCACGGAGCGCCTACTACTGTAGAGCTCCGTAGTATATAAGGCATGTACCAAGGCGCACGGACGATTGCTCTCCTTCTTCGAATCCTAATGTAGATGTATGCTATATGCCTTCGGCCACGGTTTCGATTGATTAAGTTGATTTTCTTCGGATAACGACGACGAGGACGACGAAGCGCTCCACTACGCTCGAATGATCGAACGACACCCGAAGAGCAGCAGCAGCTACTATACTGCGCTGCAACGAGTGCAATCGATTCGTATCACTTGGCACATCCTTAATTTTTCTTCACGGAGAAAATACCGCAGGGAAAAATAAATGTATACATATTTCGAATTACGATCAGCAAAGTTATCTCGACTTTGTCGTATGGTAGTATTATTAGGATGAAATGATGAAAAAAAAATTGTAATTATACAAACAAAAATATGATTTCGGTGAATCGCGTAAAGATGGATTCACGCCATATTGTTTGCATTTATTTAGTTTTAGCATGAAAAAAATAAATTTGTTAATTCGAGAAAGCAGGCACGAATTTGCGCAGTATTAATCTTTAATAAGGTTTTTCGTAAAAAAAAATAATAATTTTATGTTAATATTTATGTTAATGTACTCGAAATACATTTTTAAATTTACGCGACATCGTTAAATATCTTTGTACGCTTTCGAAAAATGTATGAATCAAAGAACTTGTAAAAAAATAACTTTTAAGTCGAGATAAGTAAATTAATTGTATGAGTTAAGGCTTCAACCCTCTAAGTAATAATTCTCTTTTTTTTTAAATTTTTTCGATCAATTTTTTTTGCGAGTCAGTTATATGTTAATAGTAAAAGTTCATGTACTTCATTATTTGATATACTTGACTTGGCAATGAAATCAAGAGGAAGTAAACGTTTCATCTTCTAGAAGTCATTACATTTACATAGCATTTGGCAAAAACTAAGACCTTTTAATATCATCATTACAATCAATTGAATTCCGAGTTAGCAATGCAAAAAATTTAATTTAAATGAGTAATTTTACACAGTTGTAATTGCATGTCTTCGATTTGAATTTTAAATGAAATACGTTGAATTTTTTTAAATTTTATCCTTAAGTAAACAGTAATACTGTTGTACATATAAAAGATAATTACTATAAATTATTTAGTAACACTTTTGTTCGAAAAAATGCAGTTCCTTCATGCACACTTGAAATTCATTGTTATCGAAATTGGTTTTATGCAAATATTGTGTTGACTTTCATTCAATATTACGAATCAAGCGTTTTTGAGAACTTTTAATTAAGATCAAAGGATGCGTTGTTTCGAAGCATTAGCTCCGAATAAAGAATCCTCTAAGACTAATTTTTATTTAATTAAAGAACAAGACTGAAAGAACAAATAAAAAATGTCGCTATTCATAAAATTTGCAAGCATAAAATGTCTACACATATTGTTCTTATAAAGGAAATAAATTTCTGATTCAGAAATATATTGATTAAAATTATGTTCATGCATGAGTTATTTATTAAAAATATTTTTGTATAGAATATTGCTACTAGGATTAAATGAGTATAGTACATAAATACTAATCCAAAGTGATGCTAATATTATTCATTTGATGTCTTGTATAATATAGATCTTTTTTAGATGGTAGGTAAATGGTATCGATTGAAATGGGTGATTTAATCGGCTACAATGTGCAATCATTTCTATTGAAAAACTGATAAAACCATATAAAGAATCATTCTCAAGGTTTTCCACATTTGTTTTTCAAGTAAAGACAAAAAACCATAAACATACGTTTATACAGTTTTTTTTTCATTTTTGTCGATCACAAACTAGTATAAAGCGCATGCAGTCATACAGCCGTAGTACATTTATGTGAATGGATACATCATCTGAACAGAAAAACAACGTGAACACGAGCAGTTTTTGGATTAGGTTGAATGATAAGTAGATTGTATAAAACTGCACACATCTGCAAACAAGGATCTGTATAACTGCAAATAGCTTTAAATTATGCAGAGAACAATTTTATACAAAAATCGATGTAACAAAACACTAACAATTCCGATGTAAAAAAAATGGATATATAGAGCTCTCTATTAACTGCTATCTACGGAAAATGATATGGAACAGCAGTTGTAATTGTACTTCGATTGCTATATATTTAAATGTGTGTTTACGTTCTATTGTGCTTCGGTTAAGTAAACCACTTCTTCCCTCTTTTATAATTTCCCGTCCATAGCACAAGTAATTGAGAGACGCCCGCCTGTGCGTTATCGTTCATTTCTCTGTGTAATGTGTGTAATGTAATAATCGTTTGTGTTATATACATATTAACTCTAATGTAAAATCGAATGGAAGACTTGTGGTATTTTGCATGAAGGGGATTATTCAAAAAACAATTCATGTACATATATTACAATGTATATTAACAATGAACGTGGAAGATTTTATTATTTTCGATACTGCCAGTTGTATTACTCGAGCGTACACCATATTTTCAATTCTGTGTTCATAAATTTTAGTTCAAAAAGTTCTACCGAAAAGTGATCATGAGTATAAAAAAAACCACCCCTTGCATCATATACGTGTGCGAATACATTATATATTAATCACACTTTCATGCAATGCCATTCGTATAATTGAATGTATACATTTATCGATCATGGCACTCACGTAACACATCTCGTCGTTTAAAAAAGTAGATTACACTTACACATATTTAAAACAAAAGAAACTTATACAATTTTACTTTATTCGTAGTTTTAAGTTGTAAATACTGACCTTTTTCATCGCGTGATTTTTATTATACATATAATGTATGTGAGCGTGAATGTGAAAAAAAATTCAAGAATATGATTGTGAAAATGTAACTGGAAATCTAGTTAATGCTTTTGTACAAAGAGCTGCTCATAGCACGATTGACTATTTGTTTACCAAAAGAGCATGTTTTACAATATTATAGGATATAAATGAGACGATAAAAAAATTAATTGATTTATACTGCGTTTTAATTTTAAAATTTTAATCCATGCATACAAACGATTGTAATTTCTTTCAATTTATACACAAGTTCATAAACTATAGATAAATTGCGACGGTTATTCGTAATTCTAATGTAAAAACGAAAAAACTTAATCAGACTTGTGAGAAATTCTTTTGTATAAAAAGGCTTGTGATTTCAAATTACATGTGCAAAAAGTGTATATTCAATGAGGTTGAATAAATAAAAACTTGGTGAAATTGTTAAAAATGTTACAGCATAAAAATTAAATTTTGTTTTAAATTTATATTGAAGAGTAATATTTTCATTCAAGTTTCTTTCTGCATTTTTTTATAATTTCAAGTACAAATCACGGCAAAAAATCACACGTTTTATTACAGCTCATGACCTGTGATAAAAATACGAGAATCAATTATGCTCGAAAATTGAAAAGAAACAGGTTTTTTAAGAGAGAAAAGAAGATTATGTTCGTTATCATAAGTAGAAGAAAAATCGAGAAATTAATTAAACGAAGACAGAAAAAAAACAATATATATTAATGACTAATTTATAAAAAAGCACCTTTAATGCTTGTATCGCTGCAATTACGGACTTGCATGTTGTACACAGCCCTGTACATTTTTATATGTAATAATAAACATGAAGCAGAAAAATTGATGAAAATAAAAGAGAAAAAAAACAAATAAACAAATTTACTCGTTTTCTCGGTATGCCGGCGCGATAATGACATACGCTGGCATTGAGATACGGGTTTGAAATTCGAAATAAACTAGCGTTCTCTATTCATTTCACTACCTCTTCGTAACAAATAAAATATATAAGCGACTACACGCTGTCTCTTCGCAATTTATTCTTCGAGCCTCTGCGCGTTGTACATAATTTACTTTCACGCTGATGCTCACTTTTTTCTGATAAGTTAACAACGAAGAGTAGTAGCAGTAGCAGTACGTGCGTCGTGGCACCACTCGTAGTCGCAAAATTTTTACAGTAATCATCGTAGCAGAAAAAAAATCATAAAAACTACCTGTACACTTGGAGCTATCTCTAGCGAAACGCGCATCGTTATAAAATATATTTACTGCTCGCGTACACGCAGAAGCGCATAACGTATAAAAAAATTTTCACTTATTTATGCGCGTTGGTACATAAAAAAGAAATAATAATGATAATTATCACGCATTGACCTAAGTAATCAAGCGAGCGTAAAAAAAAACGAAGAAGTAATAATAATAATAATAATAATAATAATAATAATAATAATGATGCATCATAACATCCGCGCGCGTCAGACTCGACTGTTGCCGATCGACGCGTTGTCCAAATCCCTCTTGATCTTCTCGAGCTCCTTCATGTCGCTCACGGACGCCTCGCACTTGTAAACGACGAGCGAGTGATAGAAGTGCACGGCGAAGGCGATGAACACGACGAGCACGGGTATGACGATGACCGTGCTCGCGGTGGCCGCGGTGAACGAGTAGTCCCAGAACTTGACCCAGCACAGTATGGCGACCTCGACGAGAAAGAGAAACAGCCCGAGGACCGTGGAGAAGGCCCAGGCGAGCTCGATGAAGCCGCGCATACGCTCGTGCGGCGACTCGTTGACGAGTCGCGACACCTGCAGCTTGGAGATGGCCTCGACGTTGGGCAGCAGATAGGTGCTGATCATGAGGGCGAATATGTGCACGCTCACGAGGACGGTGGTGCAGACGGCGAACATGACGAAGAGCCACTCGGGCACGGCGGTGGGCTCGTTGATCTGCAGCTCGACCATCGCGACCTGTAATATTATAATATACATTGTAAAATAAAATAAGTACATATATGGCACTCGAAGCAGATTCAAGTGCGAGGGACAGTTGATAAAATCGGACATCCGTCGACGACGTTCGTATAATAGGTGCACATTTTTTTGCGCGCGCGACAAGGATTATCTAATAACGCAATTGACGCGCTGTGACGAAATCTAACGTAAAATTTTTCATTTTATTTTTTCTTCAGCTGTAGCTCGTACATATATTCGCGTAGTAGGCATGAATACAACGTGATAGGATATTGCACTTTCATGCTTCGCGTGTCGCGCGTGTGCTCGTGTGTTCGGCTTTAACGTATTCGAGTCTACGCGATAGCAGCGCAACGTCGCGTCCGCATTGCATATGCATAATCCGTGCGCGCGCGCGTGTGTGTATGTTTGTACGTGTGTCCAGATGATGCATACATTATTTACGTAATTCGGGAGGTAGACGCGCGGGCGCGCGCGACATTATCGTCATAATATGCTCGAAACCGCGGATTTTTCGTTCGCGAGTCGCGTGCTGCTGCTTGTAATGAGACGACGACGGCAATTTCGAGCTCTCTGCGTACGACTGTTTCGGTCCCTTACCATGGCGAAGCCGCTGAGCAGCTCGGACGTCGTGGCCGTGGCTTTGAGCTTGGCCCGGCACATGTGCAGCCTCCTCCAGGACAGGCTCTCGGGTCCGTCCTGCTCGTGCAGCGGTATCATCATCTGCTGCTGCTGTTGCTGGCCGGACGCGTTGTTGCTTCCGCAACAGCAGCAGCAGCCGCCGCACGAGGAATACGACCCACCGCCGGCTGGATTATTACCGCCAGCACCACCGCCAAGACCGCCATTGAGATTCACGAAGGACGGTATCGGATGGATCCTCATCATGTCGATGCTCGTGTGGCGATTGTTGCTGTAATTGTTGCCGAGCAGCAGGTGCGAGGTGCTCGCGGGCAGCAGGCCGCCGTTGGCCAGGCGAGGCCTGATCGACGCCGCCGACAGGACCATCTCGCTCTGGCTCGTCGACAGGCTGAGACCGCTCGTGGGCGAGCCGCTCGAGCCCGTGTGAAGCTGCTGCTGCTGTTGATTCGGATGATGATAGTAGGAATTTTGATGGTGCTGCTGCTGTTGATGGCTGAGATCGGCTACGCTGGCGCGCGTCAGTTGTTGCGACAAGGATAGCGGCCTCGTGCGATGCTGCTGTTGCAATAAAAAAAAAAAAAAAAACACATGTAAACGCGATGCGGATATGACAACGAGACATCGATCGATATTATACTCGTACACGAGTGTTTATGCAAACAACGGGAGAAAGAGAAATTTTTCATGAATGAACGAGTTATTGTATTTTTAATCGCTGATCGCGAGCCCCCGGCGCCGCGCGCGATTCTCGCGTATATATAAACAAAGACACGCACGCACTAATGCACGCATCGAGCGCGCGCGCGCGTTTATTTATAACATGCAAATATCGCGCCGCAAATCATACTCTCGCAAAAATTCTCTCAAGGCTTCTTCGCGAGATGGGCTTTTTCCACTTATTTCTGGGTGCATTGTTATTAAACTTTTATGATAAATGTCATTGACGATCCTTCGAGCGTTCGGTTATTCTTTCGATGTATGTATACCGATCGTCGAGATCGGCCGAAGGTTTATTTCGTATAAACGGAATTTATGTACCGATTTAACGACGCGAAACTAGTATTTAAAAGAGTTTGTAAAAAAATTACAGGAAAAAAAAAAGAAACAACTACATAGTGAGACTTAATCGATAGTTTTTAGCACCTTGTGCATCGATAATTGCGAGCGAGACCAGTGCTAATTGCTCGCTCGACTTGCAAATGAATTTTTCGACGTCGAATTGGCTAAATATTAGGATTAATCGATACAAGATCTCGCAAGTTCAAAGACAGAGATTAATCGACAATCAAAGACGAACGGGGAAAAAACTCTACACAAAGTTTTATAATTCATGAAAGAGATGCCGTACTGCGAATTCTATCACGAGAAGCCAAAGAATGAAAGAGAAAGAAAAAGAAAACAGACTGACAAAGGGAAAAAAGTCAAGAGGTGTAATTGAGCTGTGCCTCACGTGATAAGCAGCGGCTGCTGTTGCGGCCAATCTCCAGTGCGAGCCATCCGATTGCGTACCCTTGTTGATGGATCTCGCCTTACTGGCGTTTTGATTATTTTGAAGCTTGTGCAGATGCTGCTGCTGATGCTGTTGCTGATCGTTCGTCGTCGTAGTCGTCTTGATCGTAGCCGTCTCAACGTCCAACGCCTCTTTGCTTTTGGCGAGATTATTATTGTTATTCTGATGCGCCGCTTCCGTGCTCGTCGGCGCGTTATTATTATTGCTCGTCATTTTGTCAATTTGAATAGCGCAGACGGCAGCATAGCGGCGACGAAGCCCGCATTAAAAAAAATTTTGCACGAAACACAAACAACGGTGTCACGAATCTCGTCCACTTGCGACCAATTGATACACAGTACCAAATTTTATAATCACACACGCGCGCGTACGCGACTCTTTTTTTTTCTTCTTTGATTCTCAATGCAGAAAGCCGACCTTCGAATCGTACACACGGCACCGCACGCACTCCAGTCGATAATAACAGGTGGTAAACGGCAAGACGCACTATCGATAATAAATCTTGACCGCGATGCGCGCACACGTGCAGCAGCAGGCGCTACACTACACGCTCGGCACTCGCTATCGATTTCTAAAAAAATTATATATCTCGTACAATTTTACGGGTTTAACGTAAAATATTACGCATTATATCGATCGCTGTGCTCAATCGTCTCGTCGCAATAATAAACAAAACGATAATACAGCTTATTGCTGCTGCTCACTGCTCTTGCATATTGAAATTCGTCGAATTCTTGCTCGCAACGAAGTCGACGTCGATGATAATGATTTCCCGACAACGAAGTCGATGAGTTCATCTCGTTGAGATTTTTCACTGTTATTACTGCCACTGCTCATTTTATTCCATACGCAAACACGCGCGCACTTGTTTACTGCATACATAAGATTCGGTGCGCGCAAGCAACCATCGATTGATTATGCACGACGCGCGATGCGCGTTGACCGGTAGCAGCTCGGCGCGGTCGCGTATACGAGCTTATAGGCTTACTCATTGACTCACGAATTTAGCCGTGGCATTTTAAGTGGCGCATAATACGCCACGACAACATAAACAACAACGACGACGACGACGACGACGACGAGGCATGTGCGTGGGCGCTTTTTTCGACGGGCACAATTTCACTCGCGAGCTTTTCTCAAGTACGTATATAACGGGAATTCTTTTGGGCTGCTCTCCGATCTCGCGCGCTTTTTTGGCCGGAGAGATTGATAAATAACAATACGCTACTGCACGCTTGCGACACGTATACGTACGTACGTCGTCGAAAGTCGCAGGATGACTGGAGCCACGAATCGCGCGCAACGCGCAAGCACACACATCTGTGCGACGACGAGAGAGAGAGAGAGAGTGAGCTCCAAGCACTGCATGCACCGCCACCGCTGCCGCTGCAACTGTTGCTGCTGCTGCTCGATCGCGGTACATACTACCGATATGTACGTTGGAAAAAAAAGCGCTAGAAACTCGTATTTCCCGCTGCGTATATATATATACTTATATGCATACACGTACACGTACACACTTATTACTTCTAGATCGCGTGCAGATCGGTATGTGTTATACATGTGTCGGTGCACAGGTTTGTGGCTGCTGTTGCTGCTGGAGCTAGAGTAGTCGCATCGTGTCGCGCGCAAACGCACACACACACACACACAAACACAAACACACGATTCGTGAAACGTAATGAGTTATGAGCGCATCGTGCATGGCACGACACACCGTGCGGCGGCTGCAGCGGCAGCTTCTTTATTATTATATTCACGCGCCAATCGCCTATTTGACAGTCGAGAGCAAATATTATCTTAATTATGTTTCGATGGGCACACGAATATAGAGCCGCGCGAGCGAGAGAGAGAGATAGATATTTTTATCGAGAAGCTTTTTTAGAGCTCTATAGATGATAAAAACAATGTGGTTTTGGTTGAAAAAAGATTACTATCGTGTAGAACTTACTGTCGCATTATTTTCACTGAAAATAATATGGACTTGCGAGTGAGAGAGATAGATATTTTTCGCGAAGCTTTTTTAAAGCTCTAGATAATAAGAAGATTGTGATTTTTGAGAAAAAGAATTACTATCGCGTTGATCATAGTGTCGCATTATTTTCATTGAAGACGAATATAGCAACGCGAGCGAGAGAGATACATATTTTTCGAGAAGCTTTCTTAGAGCTCCGAATGATAAAAACAATGTGAAAAAAAATTACTATCGTGGATCGTTCTGTCACGATATTTTCATTCAAGAAAAGTCAACAAAGCGCCGAGCGAGCCGTAGTAATGAAAAAGCTACGCGCCGCCATTACCTAACGATTTTTCTAGCGAAAATGCAAAAGTAAAGAAAAAAAATAAAAATCATCGAAACGATCGCGATGCCGCAACCTTATCCTCATCCATTATTCATCCTCGCGGTTGTACAAATATTTTTCCTGCACGGCGCGCACAAGAGTTTCTTCTCTATTGTGGTAAAAATAATATCGATTTTGCGCGGCATTCTTCGTCGTCGCCTTCGAAAAAGACAATCCGTTGCAACTGCAGCGGCGGCGCGGTGGCACGTGATCGACGCCGCGACGATATTTGCGTATCGAGTGCGAAAAAACCCCGGAGGCGACGAGAGAGAGAGAGAGAGAGAGAGACCGGTGAGCCTGTCATTTTTCCTGGACCACGCGCAAACCGTTTATTTATCGTCCGAGTTCGGGCGTAGCCTCGTCGAAATAAATGCGACATACATTATTATAATCGCATTATCACAACGATCGGAGGCTTTCAGCTGTGGAAGGACGACAATTAACAATCACCGCGAGAGTATATTTTCGTAGCCACGGTAAATCATAAGTTTGAACAATGAGAGTCGCTTATACCGTCCGCATAAATTGAAAGAAATGAAAAATGAGCGAACTCGACAACGTCTGTTACAGAAGTTTTTTCAGCGAAGGCATTAAAGCAAACAAAAACGCCTGACAGTTTACGAGAAGAGCATTATGCATTTTAATGTCAAAGCACATCTCGCGAGAGCTTATGACTCAAAGCTGCGCACTGCAATGAAGCACTGCAACAAAATCAAAAAGTATTCTCGAAATCGATTCTTCATCGATGATATATCGCACGTCGTAAATACATCGAGAACAATCATTTTGCTGCTGAAAAGTTAGAGCTTCACCCTCGCACGTACGTGCAACGCGTCGAAAGAAAAATCAGTACAAGTAACTCAATGATTTTCTAAGCGCGCATAATATAATCATCGTTGCAAACAAATAAATCCGGAACAGAAGAATATACGTTCTATACAGCATTCAAGGAAGCGGATTTGCACGTGCGCGCGAGCGAGCGAGCGCGCGCGCGTCGAAAGAAGAAAAAAAATTAGAGATTTATGGCTTATAGCTATACCCATCCTGCGCGTATGTGTACGAGCTTAGCGCGAAGAGCCGGAGTTTATAATAAGTCGAGATTTTCTTCTCGTTATATACAGAGAGCAGTGATCGGGATCGGAGTATACATATAAAGCACAGCAGAGAGTGAATGATGGGGATTTTATCGCTATTAGCACACCGAGGCATTCGCGCTTAGTCATCTTCAGGCATGTTTATAAATATAATATACATTTTTCTCTTTTTCTTCTTTTTTTCTGTAATGTAAACACAGACCAAAGGGGATGGAATTGTTTTCAAGCGGATGTGCTTAATGCGCGAGTCTCTTTTCTCTTGCACGCTCGCGTGCATAACGACGACCACGACGACGCGTATATAAAAGCACTAAAAACCGAGCGCGAGTCGCAATTAGTAACGATAAATCTTTAGTTTGAAAAATTGTTCTCGAAACGACGGCATTAATATACTATATACGTATACAATTCGTCGCCCGAAAGGTGACACAACGGATTCGCGCGTAGCTATACGCGCACAATTTTATAACGCTGCATGCATTTGGCGTTCGCGCGATCTCGCGAAGCAAATATTTGTCTCGTATCATCAAATTACACACATAGACGCATACTACGCGTTGCCGCAGGTAACACCAAGAGGAGATTTAGTTTTTATAACTCTTTTCCGTTATCTGCTCGATGCTTTTCAGCAGCAGAGGCGGCAGCGGCGGCGGCGGCGACTCTTTTTATGATCTATCTATGGCGCATACACACACGATCTGCTACACATTAATTGCGCAACCGCGTGTACACATACACGTTCATACATATCTATGATTACTCTTCGCTCGTGCGAGAACAGTACGTACGTGAATTATCTCTGTTATGAGAGTGTATGACACTAATTTTGATGAAGTGTCGCATTGTTCGTCGTCGTCGCCGCCGCCACCGCTGCCGCAAACGCGACCGCGCGCGAGTCTACCAAAATGATATTTATTTATTTTTCTCCTCGTGTATTATGCGATGCTCATCGAATTGTTATATACCGCTCGTGCTCGCGAGTCGCACATAGCTCCTAATCTCGACAAGAGATCTTCAGCTCGTATCCAATATATACATTGTAATTTTTTTAAAAACGGGAAAAATAATTATTATAAATTGTGCGCCTATTAGGTCGCGCGTTGTCGTCGCCAAAGTCGTTTTTGTTATTAGCGTAATATTTCGAGGAAAATCAGGTGCGCGTCGGTCTATTATCGCTCTCGGAGATGTTTATAATTACACTCCTAGTCAACATGACATTTATGATTTGATATACTATATACGCGACTATTCACGTGTATGCGCGATTGATCATTCATTAGCGCAATCACAAGAATCGGATAGTTTATTGAGAGTCTTGACCTGTAACTTCGATGATGTTTTGAGTTATTACGATGCATGTTTTGATCGAAACCGATGATTCTGAAACGATATACGAATGAGAATATATAGTTGAACGACAATAACAACAAAAAAAGTAGAAAAACGTTAGAATGGTAGTAATTTTGTGTCGCAAACGATAATTAAAAAGAAAAAAATTACGCAGATCAAAGCTCTCATTACATGCCTCGTAGAGTTTATAAGCAATTTAATAAGCAAGTTGACTTTATAAACAAATAATTATCGTGTAAAAAAAATTGCCGATTCTAAAAGGGGTGCTGCGCGCGGTGCGCTAGTTTTACAGTTAAATAAGCACTCGCTAAAAAATAATACTTCGTCGAAAAGAGCATTAGTTTTCGTTGTCGCGCGAACGAAATATTAGAAAAATGCGCACGTACTCGTTCGGCATATTGAGCGCCAATGGAACTTGGCGGCCCCGTTCTTGGGACAGCCGATGGATTATCACGCTTTACAGCTTCTACACCATTATCCAGATGATCGTGTACTATTTGTTTATGATTTCGGAAATTTTGGACATCGTTTGGGTGGCGGAAAACGTCCAACAGATTTCGGAAAACATGGTCCAGCTGGTCAATATCGTCAACGTGTCGCAAAAGATCCTGACTATGATCTTCAGGCGCAAGAGAATCCTTGATTTCATGGACCTGTTCGAGGACGAGATTTGCGCGCCTTCGACGCCCCTAGAAGAGGCCATACAGAAGAAAACCGACGATCAGTCCTGGTAAAGTAAAAAGCAATCAATCGTCCAGATCGTATTAAAAAAATCCTCACTTCTATACTTGAACTATGTACAAAATCAGCGCAAATTCGAGACGATTGTTCTGCCTCTACACGACCTCGGTGGTAATGGTCGTTTACATGCCGTTCTTTATAAACCCGGTGGAGGCCCGTGTGCTGGCCTACCGCGGCTGGAGGCCCTACGTCATCGACACGAACTGGAAGTACTATCTGAGCTATCTGCACCAGAGCTGGGCCGTGACGATCGCCGCGACGACCAACGGCGCCATCGAGACCCTCATGATGGGCTTCATGGCGATGATATGCGCCCAGTTCGAGATGATCGAGGAGCGCTTCAAGCGACTGCCCGACGCGCTGAACGAGTTCCGGGCCGAGGGCGCCGACGAGGAGCAGCTACGGCTGCGCGAGAAGCGGCTCATCGTCAAGCTGGTGAAGAATCATTTGCGCCTTTACGAGTGAGCTGCGAGCGAGCGCGCGTCAACGTGTTGTCGGCGGAAACTCAATTCTTGATTTTTTCCGGTTTTTTTTTCTTCACGTCGATTCGCAGACTGACCCAATTATTCAACGACATCTTCTTCTTCATCATTCTGTCGCAGTTCATCGCGAGCATATTTGTTCTGTGCGTGACGACCTTAAGTTTGGCCCTGACCAAGAACTTCAAAGATTTCCTCACCATTTTTTTGTACATTCTCTGCATGCTCTTGCAAATATTCATCTACACCTGGTACGGAAATGAAATCACTATAAGGGTATGTTTCATTTATCATATTAAATGGTTATACATTACGTTATTGCGTTTCATTTTTTTTGTTACTCAATTTGCAGAACAGCGATTTGGGCAATAAGATTTTTCTCATTGATTGGAGATCGCTGACACCTCAGGGGCATAAATTTCTTCTGATGATAGCCCTGCGCACAACCAAACCCATTGTTTTGAGCGCTGGACACGTGATTACCCTTTCGAATTTGGCATTCACCAGTGTTCGTGGTTTTTATGATCGATAATATTGTTCCTATGACTGTCCTGAAAAGATCGAAGTATGATTAATGCGTGTTTTTTATTTCAGATTTGTAAATCGTCTTACTCCGTGTACAACGTACTCACGGTGTAAATAATTTTCAACAAAAGTTTACGTTAAAAATCTTTATTCGTGAACTTTTTTTTAGACTTTTTAGACTTATAAATAATTGTAAAAGAGTATGTAGTATATGTTTGAAACTAAAACATTTTAATTTATCAATCATTTACTAGTTACATATTACAATTAAGTACACTATCTAGTCGAGTTTTGAAGATCAAAATTCTCTGACTATTTTCAATAATTCATCATTGGGCCCATTTACGCATTCATTTTAATGCATCAGCTTACTTCCAATTTTAAGATAAAAGAAAAATCATGAATTAATGAACACCTTCTTTTTTTATCATGCGCTCGTGCACTGTAGAATCATTTTTTAATTTCCCAATTTTTTGTAATAGTTTATCATTGATAAAAAAAATGTTCATTGTTCATTCGTTAAATATAAAATAATTACAATGACTTACTTTTGCTTCGTTTACATTGAATAACTTTGCAATTTCATAACATGAAATTATAAAGCTAATACAGCGAAGATGGAGAGCGGTGCAAGATTCGTTGTTTACGTCGTGCGTCGCGTGCATGACCTCCGTGTTTGTCCGGCAAGGTGTTTTGCGCTGTACGTTACGTAGTGCGGGACTGAGCTACGAAGCTGGTCGAGCATAGGTTCGTAAGTATACTCCTTGTTTAGAAGGCAGTTTTCCAAAATACAGCGAGCAGAGCAGAGCAGTCTTCGCCAGTCTTTTCGTACACGATTGATGAGTTATCTAAAGTTATCACAAAATTCCATGTAAGAAAAATGGATTCCAGTGGTTTATTTAATTGTGCTATCAGGTAACTTTTATTTTATAATAATTAAAGGATAATAATATTACATCAAAATACTTGGGCTAATTTGGGGTTATTTCAGAGTGAAAGAGGAGCCTAGCGATGCGGCCGCGCTTAATGAAAATGATTCTGGAACGATGGACGAGAAACCCGATCTGAAAAACTTTCAACCCTTAGCATTTCCACCAGAAAATTTAGTAAGTGTTAATAATTGAATGTAACTGGTATTTTAGTTGTATTTTTATGCAAATTTTCACATTCATTGATTATTTTGACAGACCTTTCATAAATGTGACAAAAATTATGAACGTGAACTTGAAGACAATATGAAAATAGTTTTTGAATGTGAAGATGTAAAGCCCAAAATGAATTCATCAGCAATTAAGAAAATTGAAGATTATTCTTTAAGTCATGTAAAAGATGTCGATGGTTGCAAAACTCAAAACATAGTTAAAATAGAAACTTCAAAGGAATTGAAAAAGGAATTTTTTGGTGACGCTGTAGAAGAATCCAATGTGAATTTCGGGTGTGAATTGGTTGAACAAGAGAAAAAAAGAAAAATTACAAATAAATTAAATAACGACCATAGAGTCAAAGTACATACGCGTACGGTACATAATGGTACAACCCACTCATCTAATATTTGCAAAAATACATTCTCACGCAAGGGGTATCTCAAAAGCCACATCGAAGTGACGCACAATGGTGTCCCGCATACATGCCGAATATGCGCGAGGACATTCACGAAAAAACACACACTTCGAATCCATATTGATGGGATGCACAATGGTATCAGATATAAATGTGACACTTGTGAAAAATTGTTTTCACAAAAAGCTCTTCTCAAAAGGCATGTAGATACGGTACACAATGGTATCAGATATACCTGTGATATTTGTGAAAAGTCATTTTCCCAAAAATATTATCTCAAAATACACATCGAGATCCACATGGACGCGATGCACAATGGTATTAACTACGCGTGTGAAATATATGGAAAGACGTTTAAATGTAAGGGTCATTTAAACAAGCATGATCAATCGGCGCATCGAGGTATCGTTCACTCGTGTGATACATGCGGGAAGACGTTTACAAAAAAGAGCTATTTAAAAAGGCACGTGAAATCATCGCATTATGGCGTCAAACACACATGCGATAAATGCGGCAACTCATTTACCGCAAAAAGTAGTCTCAAAACGCACACAGATGTGGTACACAATGGCGTCACACATACATGTGATATGTGCGGAAAGATTTTCAAACGAACGGGTAATCTGAAACTTCACATCATCAAGGTTCATGTGATACGTGCGACAAAAAATATGAACGTGAAAGCTACCTGAAATTCCACATAGGTGTGGTGCATCACTCATGAGTGATCATCCTTGCAAGAATTTAAACTTGATAAACTTATGAAATTCCATAAAAATGTTCCAAAAATTAATTTAAATATTTTCATTTACAACAAATATTATAAGTTTCTTTAATATTATCTTATTAATATTAATAGTATAAAGTTAATCAACCTTTAGGTTTATGTCAATTTAATTGTAATATTTGTAACTTTCCACGCTCTTTACACGCCTAAAATTCTGCAAACTTTATGTATGGGAACTTGGTCGCTTCAAAACGTTTTACTTCATAGCGTAAATCTATGTTATGTTCTCCCTTTTTTTAAAAAAACATTTCAAGGATCATCTTTAAAATATTAATAAATTATTTTGTCTGCTCTACGATTAATCTTCTATTTTCCTATACGTTGATACACCAACCTTTCTTTCAATATAATATGTAAATTATCAGTAACTAAAATATAATTTACCCTTTTGTCGCACGAGAATCGTCGTTTCATTCTATAATACGCAAGATGACACTAGTAATTATTCGTCATCCATAAAATCGATCATTCTGCAAACATGTCATTATAAAATACGTCCGAACACTCGAAACAATAAGTTGTCATTGGAAAAGTAGAATACCGTTGGAATAATATACTAATTCTCATTTTCACGAAAATCATGAAACTCTTGGGATCGTCGTTTTTAATACTCGAAATCCTCGGATTTTGGAGGCCGAATCGATGGCGATCGAGAGTCGCGACGAACATCTACAGCGTCTACACGATCGTCATGGTCGGTATGGTTTGCATGTTCGCCGTGTCGGAGATGCTTCTCATAATGACCATCGACGACGTGAGAACTCTCACGATGAATCTGTTCATGGCGCTGTCGATCGTGAACGGCGTCTTCAAACTCGCCAACATACTGTCGCGCAGGACTGGCATACTGAAGCTGATGGATCGACTCGTGCGCGAGCCGCTGGCTCAAACGAACGAGAACGAGGCCGCGATTCAACGGGACCACGACGCAAAAGCGAAGTAAGCCACTGCATGATACGATCAAATTTTTCATTCGAGTGAGCCAAGAAAGACGACGAAACGAATTTCTTCTTGTCGCAGATCGAACACGCACTTGTATCTGCTCATGGTTCAATCTAGCGTGACGATGATAACGCTGCAGTCTCTCGTCGTCGACCTGCCCCGGCGCAGTCTGCCCTTTCCGGCCTGGCATCCGTACAATTATTCCGGCTCCGCGAACGTCTACGCGCTGACTTACGCCCACCAGCTGCTGGCCAACTGCGCCACGGCGCTGCTGCACGTGGCCAACGACACCCTCGTAATGGGTCTGATGATACAGATTTGCTCTCAATTCGAGATTCTCAAGTGTCGCCTCGGAGCGATCGCCGTCAACGATAGCGGCGGCGATTACGAATCATTGAAGTCCGCCGTGGTTCACCATAACTCGATATTGAAGTACGATACGTATACATGCGTCGATGCTGTCGATTAATGATGAATTTATTTGGTTTCTCAGGTTTGCCGAAGACGTGGGCGATGTCTTTTCGATCTCGTTATCTGCCGAATTTTTCATATCGGTGATGGTAATTTGCTCGAGCGTTTATCTGTTGTCAGGCATGTCCCTCTTCAGTCCAGATTTTATATCGCTGCTCTTGTACTTGAGCTGTATACTCGTTCAGATATTCGTTTACTGCTGGTACGGAAATTCTGTGTCTCTGAAAGTAAGGAGAACAAAAAACTTGATTAAAACAAATACGATTTTCAAATAATGATTTCAATTCGTATTTCTTTGAAATCGTTAGAGTTTAGAGATAACCGACGCCGTATTTGCCATGGATTGGACTAAGCTAGATACGAAAATACAGAAGAGCCTTCAGTTGATTCAATTGAGATCGCAGAAGCCGTTGGAATTAAAAACCACTCGCATTTTCACTTTGTCGACCGTTTCGTTCGCAAAGGTATATTTCATCTCGATCACAGACGCGCGATACACGACATTATGAGAAAGTTCCGCAACGTTCGATTACGAAATTCCGAATCGATACATAAACATATATATTTTTTTTTTATTTGCAGATATTAAAAGCCGCTTATTCGGCATACAATTTCATGCAGTAATACCCGCAGCACGACGTTATTGAGATTACGTCCTCTTATCGTGTTTATAATATTATTTAACTCTTACGAAATCGATGTATAGCGACGACACAAAGTATTACTCAACGATTGCACTGGTTAATATTTTTTTTCTCGATAAATTGACGGATTTATTGATTCGTTCGTTCGAGCACTGAGATTCCGTCGAGTATGTTTTTATCGTTGAATAAACAGTTTTTATCCAGCAGATCGTTTTAGCGAGAAAATTTCGTTCTTTATTCTGAATCGACGCAAAGAGTTATGACTTTGCGAAACCTCATTTTGCCAAGTGGACGTATGCAGACGTAATGAGGGTAGTTTCGCCATTAATGCACTTTAATTGTCAGCGGGGCTATTATTCTTTTCACCCTCCACTTATTCAGTTATCTTTAATTAGGTAATAACTCTCCGCTCGAATAGATCCCTATTACGAATACATTTTAAAACTCGCGAAAAATATTACAATGTAGAACAAGTAAGTACAAAGAGAAGTTTTTGCTCTCGCGAAGTAATAAAACACCTCTATCATACACGCAAAATGCTCCCCATACCCTTTGGCATCTTGACCGTGTGCGGATTTTGGCGGCCCGTCTCGCTGAAATCTCCGCTGGCCAAGACGGCCTACGATCTGTACTCGGGCCTCATGTTCGTGCTGATCTGGTCGTTCACGCTCAGCCACCTGATCGACATCGCGATCACCGCCGAGAGTTTCGAGAGCTTGACGGGCAGCTGCTTCATGCTCCTGTCGATGCTCAACGTGTGCTGCAAAATGACCAACATCCTGTACTTTCGCGGCGACATTCTGGATCTGTTGGCCATACTGGCGGCCGATCGTTGCAAGGCTCGGGACGATCGAGAGCTCGAGTTACAGGAAAAATTTCACTCGAGAGCCAAGTACGTACTAAGTAACAAAATGATCGCGACAAAAATTTTGATTGAAATTTTATCGATTGTCAAATGCTTTTATTTACGTCGATTTCGATCGTATCGAGACGATTTTTATAGTTTTCTTGGAAATTTTATTATAGTTCAAAGCCATACATGGTGCAAAATTCTTGAACTGTCTCATCGACACCGTCGAAGCGGCGTTATTTAGCGAAATCGCTCAATTTTTAACTCACCAAAAAAAAGACACTAAATTTTCCAAGAAAAATTTTAAGATATTGCCTTAGCAAAAAACAGAGTTCTCTACGATTTTTTTAAATTTATTATAGTCGAAAAAGTACTTTGTGATGGTAAATGTTTGATTTGCATAAACGAATGACTGTGCAGCCCAGGTACACGTTTAAAAAATCGATTTTTTTTTCAATAATTTTTAGTGTCGGGCTCAAATACTAGTAGTAACCTCGATATTGACCCAAACCATACGAAAACTCGTCTCGATACGATCAAAATTGTCGAAAATAAAAGCATTCGAAAATCGACAAAATTTCAACGAAAATTTTTTATCGCGATAATTGTATCCCGGAGTGCATGATCATTAAATATTTTTCGTCACGAGAATCGATCGCGCGCACGTTATATATAGATTCGTCGCGCTGTGCTACGGCGGCCTGACCGAGACCACCTGCACGCTGATAACTCTGCGCACGTTCTTCGGCGCGGCCAGCCGAGCGCTGCCCTTCAAGGCCTGGATGCCGTACGACGCCGGGGCCAGCCTGGCCGGCTACTGGCTCACCTTCGCCCACCAGACGGTGGCGCACTGCGGCGCGGCCAATCTGCAGATCGCCAACGAGACCCTCGTCTGCGGACTGATGATACAGGCCTGCTCGCAGCTGGAGCTGCTCAAGCTGCGCCTGGCGAGTCTCGGGGCCCGCGAGTCGGATGAAAGAGACGGCGGCGGCGGTGGCGATGGCGCGTCGTCATCGAGACGCCTGATCGTCGAGACTTTCGAGCATCATCGAAAAATAACCGAGTAGTAGTAGTAGTAGTAGTCGTATCGATACGAAAAATAAAAAACCAAAAATTTCGAATAACCATAGTAATGTCGCAGGTTCTGCCGCAAGCTCAACCGAACGTTCAACGTCACGCTGTTCGTGCAGTTCGCCATAAGCTCGCTCGTGCTGTGCTCCTCGGTCTATCTGCTGTCGAAAATGCGAATGGGTAGCGTGCAGTTCATGTCGCTGTCGCTCTACGTGTCCTGCATGCTCTATCAGATCTTTTTGTTCTGCTGGTACGGCAACGAGGTGATGTTGCAGGTATATAATATAGAGTCCATTTTAACGCGCGTGACGCAACGAATTGTTAATAATTATAAATTATATCATCGTCGTCGTCGTCGTCGTCGTCGCGGGCGCGCATCAGAGCATCAGCGTGAGGAACGCCCTGTACCAGGTGAACTGGCCGAAAATGCCGATCGACGAGAGAAAAATGCTGGTTACGTTTATGATGCTCGTGCGCAGGCCGATCGTGTTTACGAGCAGTTTCCTCGTTACGCTGTCCATCGATTCCTACTGCCGAGTAAGTCGTCGTCGCATATTGTAAACGAGAGAGGATTGATTGCTCGCAATCTCGATTAATAGAGGAAGACTGAGATGGAACGAGAGAGAGAGATTATAATTGGTCGGAACGTAATGAATTGTACGTTGCTTGTTCGCAGATTTTGAGAACGTCCTATTCGGTATTCAATCTGCTTCAACAGACTACCTAAGCGTGAGATCTCCGCAGTCGAAGAAGAATAGATATGGTTGCATCTTACGTCGTTTAAAACCCAAAATATGTAATGAAAAAAAGAAAAAAAAAATAATAATAATAATAAAAGATAAATATAAACTACGAGGAAACAGCACGAACTATATAGCAAAGCTGATAAGATATAGACGCAGAGTTTCGTACTGTCTGTTTCCGTAAAAATAGGTATTTCGCGCCGTATGGCACATAATGTATTTTCAACTGGATCAATGCCACCAATAATTCCAAATGAACCAGCCAATTGGAAAACAGCTCGAAGAAAATCGATGCCCCATCGTTCCCTCGTTTCAGATACAACGTATAAAGCGTACCGATATAATTAAATTGAGAAAGGTCCAAAAATTACGCTTCGCCGATTTTCGCCCGACGACGACGACGACGACGCACCGATCGATACACATATTCGATTGGAATTACTGAATAAGTCCGCGGGCGCTCGATTAGTCATAATTGTGAATAAACGCTCTTTAAAAGCGCTTCCGCCTTTCGTTCGTCCGCCCGCCGATTGTCATCCCAAAAATACCCGCGCCCGCCAGTCATGAGCTTATCTCCTCTCTCTCGCGCGAGTGTGCGTTTCCTCTTTTGCGTGCGAACGACGCGCTCGTTCATTTAACTTATTGTACGCGAGAAATAAACAAAGGCAAAACCCATCTTTAAAATGAAAATGAAAATGAATAAAAAAAAACCGATAAATAAAATAACAATACGCCGCCACCCGTCTATATAGAAACGAGAGCAATGCATGCACAGGCCAAGTGGCGCACGGCATTCCGAGGCATCGATGCATTCGAAAATAAACCGACTCGTATAGCGGCGAGCCGATCAATGAGTCCGATCGATAGGAAACGTGCACATTTTTAGACACTGCACGCGATGATGTCGTCCGCGCGCCCCCGCCGTGTCTATAAGGGAAGAAGAACGCAATATGATTCCTGAACGTTACATACATATAATATATGGCTGCACGTCACGAAACGCGCCACCTACACACGAAGACAGAGAAAGAGAGGCGACGTTTTTATCCAGACATGCAGCAGCGGCGTGCAGACTTTGGGGCTTTTTTATGCATGCGCATTTATAGGCGCGTGCAACCGTCGAAACAATAGGTGTAAGCATACTTCGAGAGCATCGCGGAGAAGAGAGTTTCACACTTTCCAAAAGTCTGCTCTGCTGCCTTTTGTCTTCTATAGTAGCGCCTCGTGCGCTGGCAGCCCGCATGAGCAGCAGCAGCTGCAAACATCGCGCGCCGCGTCGTTGACGCAACGTCATTCGTACACGGTATATATACTGGCTCGGCTGGAGCGAAATAACAATCATCATAATTCTCGCATCGAAAGCGCAACTATATACGGATAAGGCCTGGCGCAGCACTAGTCGTAGTCGATCGCGCATCGAGCGCGGACGGTATATATATTATTATATCGTTGGCAGAGCCTGGCGTAAATGTGAGGCTATCTATACTATTTATACGTAAAAGAAGAGAAAAAAACGCACACTTTCTCGCGTGTTACGCGACAGTTCCTAGCCCTTGTTTATAACGTGCTTGTGTGTGACGTGTGTGTATACGAGAGAGAGACAGACTGCAGTGACCAAAAAAGAAAACGAGTTGGGTGAACGCGGTCTCGTGTGTATATCGAGGAGAAGAGGCGCTTCGTTTTATTTTTTTTGCTTCCTTTTGTCCAAATAAGTAAGTTCACGAGAGGTCAATAATATTTTCTAAAGGCATGTTAAAAGGCAACGCTTTCGAGCGTTTGTATATCGAACGCTCGAAAACGAAAATTGCACGATGCTGCACAGTGGTGGTGGTGGTGGTGTTACATGGAGAGTAGTAGCATATAGCGTGTGTGCACCGCGTGCATGTGTAATAAGCATGTGTGTGTTCTCTATCTTTTATACCTATATATAGCGCATTCGCTTTACGGAATTATCGATTGCTCTCATAACCTTAAAGGTGCGGCCCCTTCTATTGTACCCCCGCACATTGCAATTGCACAGTAGGTAGTATAGGCGAAACGAACAATCGTTCGTTTTTCCGCACGCCATTCTTTCGACGACGTGCGTTTGTTATCGTAACGCGATTAATTTTCTCTCGTCTATTTTTTTTTCTTCGAAAAGCGGAGCATCGCGTTCAGGTGTCTAGTCTGTCTGTCTCTGTCTATACCTATCTATCTATCTCTATTCTGCTTTAACTGCATTGCTGTATTTATCGCATCCTCTGTTATACGTCTAATGCATGCATAATAATGTAAAGTGCACGCGAAATTGTGTGTGCATATCGATGAGTAAGTTGTATGTATAATAATGTATACCACGCGACGTTTTTGTGTGTAAGTGTCTGTGTGCACACAACGAGCCTTTAAAGGTCAAGCGCGGAGTTGTTCCGACACACGGCACACAGCGTGTGATAAGGTGCGATAAGCGAGCCTTGTGTGTGTCTACGCTACTGCTGCTGTGTTATATACAAAGGCGTTCGATATAAAAAAAAAGGTGCACACGCGAGCTGCTGTGCACTCGCCGCATTTTAATATCTCTATATATACGCTAAATGCAATACGCTTACGGCTCGCGCGATTATTAATTCTGCAAAATAACAACAACTCGAAGAGAGGAAGCGATACATAGGTATATAGGTGCAGAACAGGTGTGCATAACGCGAGCTCGCGCGAGCAGATGTAGTGTATAAAAAAAAAAAAAAAAAAAAACTAAAACCGCCTTCGTAAACTAGAGGCTTCGATCATGTAACATACTTGAGACTTTGATTATGTGTCTTTGAAAAGAGCGAGAAAGAGAAACACAATGCCCCGCGAGCGAGCGAGCTCGCGCGGATAACTGATTCATTCAATAATTTGCCTGCGTAATGCACGGCGCTCGATGAAAATTTTGTGACGCGCAAAATCGCTGTGTCCCCGCGCGCATTCGTGTGGTATCGCGTATTTTTTTCTCCTCTCGTACGCAGGTAAAAAAAATTCGAGATAATTATTTCTCAATTGAAATTCCGTAGTTATTTAGGCGTGAATTCTAGAAGTTGATTTCATTAAATTGATAAGATTATCTTTATGTTTAATTGATTTGCATTCAGGCATGGCTTTATTATGTGCGAGGATGTGAGTCATGCCTGAACTGTCCATCTGCATGTCTTTAAAAGTACTTCTATTTATAACGTCGCTTTGTAACGTCAGCTGACAGCTTTGACTTTTGAATCGTAATTCATAATTGGCAATAAATTTTGTTTCAGAATACAGTTTGAAAGATGCCTGAAAGTGGAGCAGTTTATCAACCCACAACTGTAGGATATTCTTATGATACGAGAGATGGCGGTCTTGGAATCAGAAGAAGCTTTTCCAGGATCATGGCAAGGCACAAGTTTAGCACAAGGAGTTGGCTGGAATGGGTGTTGTTCACAGTAGCTCTGGCAGCTTTTACAGCTGGACTCACCATGATGCTTGTAAATGTATTTCACAGTGGAGAGGAAGTGCCACAGAAGGTATGGAGAATTGTCTTTCAATTGATGAATATCTACTGTTTTTATTTTAATTAATTTTATATTAGGTTGATGATGAAACACCAAAAGATTCGGAAACAGCAGTAAAAGAACGTCATGAGAATGAAGGCAGAGCATCGATTGCAGCTGGTGCTTCAATGATGGTTCTAGGTATTGGCTTGGGAATACTTTGGGGCTACATGCGTTTCTTTAGGCATGGTAAATTACCTAGAGGAGGAATGACAGGCAACAGTGGTCAGGTATGTTTAACTCTAGATTTTCATGACTTACTAAAAAACCATCATTAATTGCAATTCATAAACTAATACCATTTCTCATGAATCATCACTGATCATAACAAATTAAATCCAAGTATGGAAACTTTAAGTCATGAAAAATCATCCGCTTTCAATGCAATATACGTAACTGCAAGCATTATTTGAAATTTGATTTCGTATTGCTTTTTTTAATTTAAAAACTCACGCATGCTTTATCCACGCCAAATTTTCCTATCTACATTTTAAGTTGTCACCAAATTTATTTTATTTATTTTGTTTTGAAAAACGCGTTGTTGCTATTGTAACCTACCTAAGATGTTGGGCGGGTTAAATCCATCAACTGACTTGCTGGTGGGTTCCACTTCGCAGTACGGGCCAGTACTAACTGAGCTGCCAAGCCAAATGAAAGCGTCAAAGATCGACGAGGTCTCAACTGCCCTGCCAATGTCCGATCAAGAGGAAGAGACCCATACATTAATGGACGACGTTCAGCTGCAACCAGCAGGAGGACCAAGCACCATTGCGGGTCAAATACCAGGCTGAGTAAGGGCTGACGCCAAGGTCAATCTCTTTTTGCCTCTGTTTTCGACATTGACCGATAGGCCCTACAGCTGATAGTCCGATTGGGGCGCGTCGAGTGGATTTGTTCGACTCGACGACGATTATATGTACGATTATACATAATGACGATACCCAAGGCCACCACCGCAACACATTAATACATTTGCGCTGCAAGTAAAAATTATATTTTAGAGAACGATATTTTCAAAAAGAATTTTCATATAATAATTTATTTATTTTAACACCGAATGAATTTCGTCTGGAATGATGAATATAATTTCATCACAGATAAGAGTGCCAAGTTTGTAAATTGTGAAAAAAAGATTGAATGGGAAATGCGCATGCAATAAGCAATTTATTGTTTTAAAAAATCAAGAACGCCTATTGTTTGCTTATGCTCAAAAATATAACATTATGAATTTGCAACTATCCCACCTTACATTATAGATATTGTCAAATATTGCATTAAGTAAAACAGGGCCGTAGTCATCTAAGTTGCAGAGAAATTATTATTGTTTAACAATTTTAACCAAGTGTACAGAAAATATGATCAAATGATCAACTATTTTTAAGAGAGAAATGTGCATTTTTTTTTTAATAAAATACTTAGATTTTTTATTATTTTGATAAATTTAACAATTACTTTGTGAAAAATACAATTTTTTACTTTCAATTTTTTTGGGAAGGTTATTGTTTAGCCTGTTGTATATAAAAATGATTTATCTATATCCTAATTAGTCAACAAAAACTTTTTTAATTATATTATTGATATATCTTACACAGATATCTTAAAGTAAAAATTGATTTATATTATAATGTATCATCTTTGATACTATCGTATAACACGAGAAAAATTACGTCCTGTACTCGTTAAATAAAAAATATATAATCACGATTAAGTAGAATAACTTTATTTTGATGTATCTAAATTTTTTTATACTTATTAGCATGTAAAAATTTGTCTATTCAAATATAAATAAACAATGAATTTACGTATTATATTTACTAGGGAATAAACGAAAGATATATTTCTATAGTTGCATACCTTGTAATGTATAGATCTCAAGTATTCTGCAAGTGCGAAAAAATTTAGATTTAAGATTTTTTAATTTAGTATACACTTGCATCTTGCATATGCAATTAAATTTAGGAGATTCAAAATATATATTTTAGATTTTGAATAAACATAATTAATAATCGTAAATGTTATAAATAAAAAAAATTATAAAAATTAAGCTTTTTCTAATTATCTTGAGCACTACAAATTGACAAAGGAACCTTTTAATGATCTTAAAAATTATGTCATCAAAAAGTATTTAAAAGAATTTAAGAACACCCAAGTTATAAAACCATTGACAAATGCATAAACTTAGCAAGATTCACTGGTAAGCGCAAGTTGATAAACAATAATTTTGTACTAATATAAAATGAATTAGGGTAACGAAGTACATGGTAATGAATAACATGATTTGAGCTATATCCAGCTGAGACAATCAAGATCTTTGGGTGTGCAAGAAAGTCAGTGTAAGCATTGTTGATTGCAAGTACTCTTATGTGAACAGTTTTCCACTAGTTCACTAATATTAAACATTTTCTTAATTCACAATTAGTAGGAACTTTTTTCAAAGATAATATCAATACATTGAAAATAAATAAATTTTCAATTGAATATTCAAAAGTACAATAAAGTTAAAGAAATATGCAATACACCAATTGTTAAACATTAGAGCACTGCAAGATTTATAAAAAAAATTACTTTTTCTCAACCGTAGGAAAATAGAAAATCGTCATTGCAAGCTTTTAAAAGCCATAGGTAATTAATGCAATACCAAAATAATGCAAATTATGGTAAAACTCATTTTCAAGTACCTAATGAGTTTTGAATGAGAAATATTTATTTTATTTATGCACGGACTTTAAATTTGTAAGTGATAATATAAAAATTATATTAAATGTTTTTAAACATTCTAATATAAGTAATATTGCATCGATTATCAAAGTTCAATCAGCATAAAAGCATAACTGAGAAAATCTTTTTTACAAATCCAGCTCATTTCAAAAGCACAAAAAACCCAAAAGAATAATTTGAAATGAATGAAGATTTGAAGAAACGATAAAATCGACGATGAGTCTTGATAAAAAATTGGAGTAAATTGAAACATTTCAAATAACAACGAAGCTTAAGTATCTTTTCTTGCTTCAATTTATCTAAATAATTTCATTAATCATCGAACGTATGTATTGAACGAAATGATAACACTATTTCAATCCGAGTCCGTACTTATATACCTCAATAATGATCGTATGATTTTTCACTCCGTCCATTTTTGTAAGCTATTGCACTGCGATAGCCAATAAAAAAGATTCTACGCACGTCCCGATGTCTATAAGGTATTTATATTTTGATATTTGGCAGGGATTTCGTTTTCTACCCGTATAAGATTTGAAACGATTGTGAGATTTTGCTTACTTTATGTAAAAGTAATTATCATACGTAAAATAAATGACTGAACTCTGACGAAAAAGTGATTTTTATTTGACTACAATTTACCTCTTCATAAGGCTATTATTATTTTATAAATACCTTTCAATATTTCTTGGCTCATTCAATGAAGATTACTAAAGAACCCAAAACTTCAAAATTCAAATTAAAAACTTATGGATTAACAATCAACGCGCACAACTGCCACAATCATTATAATATTTACCAACTACAGTTCCAATCTCAACAAATTACAAAATTCAAAATAAGTCGCATAAAAACCGTTGGCGCGAAACGAAGTTCTATCTGTGCACGCACAGGGCCATCAAAAAACATAAGAAGGTAGTCCAACCGTTGGCGAGTTAAAGCCGATCTGCAGCTAGCCTAAACTGTTTCCATCAGCAAAACTCGTTCGTTCGTGTTCGATGTTCAAACTTCGATCACCTCATATCCAGCGTTGTTAGAACGAGCCGCAAACATGGCTGCCTCACTGTTTTATCGACTCGACTTCGTTGACTTTTTCGGTGTAGCCAACTTATGAGTGCGGGCAATTTCAAATATACTTTGTAAAGCATACACTATAACTTGTACATGTACACGCGACTATTTCGTTGCTTATGATCTACTTGGATTTGTAATTATCAAACTGAAATGAATAATAAAGGATGCAACAATTTTATCATTAAACAAGAAACAATGTTTCGTTTTCATTTTATTTGGGATAAGTATAAACAAAAAGTAAAATTCAAAGCGCAAGCGACGGTTACACCATAAATGAAGGACATTATTCGGCTTTTTTAAATATTGAAAACGTATGGTATCACGCAAATGACGATACTGTCGAAACTAAGAATTTTGAACAGTTAAAAACAATCATTGAAAATGATGCTTATATATTAATCTATGAAAAAAAAATAAATTAGCTGTTGAAACGAATTCAAAGAGTTTTCTTTATTTCTAAACTTTTGTTTCCAAAAGAGCGTGTATATACACCTGCACATGTTCGTGATTCTCAAAGTTGGCTACACGTAGAAAGTCAACGAAGTCGAGTCGATAAAACAGTGAGGCAGCCATGTTTGCGGCTCGTTCTAACAACGCTGCTCATATCGTGCAAATAGTTTGAACTGAGCAGCAGCAGCTTATTTATTCGTTAACCGTTGCTCCAGGTTTCTGTAATCAATGTGAGTTGTGTGTTGTTTATTCGCAAACTATTCATCTATTTATTTATAATTTCTTAAAGTTGTAATAGTGACTTTTTTGTAATAAAAAAGAAACAAATATTAAGATGTAAGTTTTTAAAGAAATGTCTTCCATTGTAGTCGCGAAAATAAAGAAAAACGACATTCTAGCGCGTTCGGTTTTAAAAAATCTCTTTATTTAAAACGATTCTCAGTTGATTCATATTTAAACATAGGTGTTATAAAATTCATTGTTTGAAATGTTTTGTAGTTTCATAATGCAGTACGGTGGTTACGGTGGTTACGGTGGTGATTCACCACCATCTTCTTCGGCTTTTATTAAGCCAAAAGAGAGAGTTACAACTGAACAAAAACAATGTATATTTGAGTTTGTTATGGACAATCCAGAAATCATAACACATGATTCAACCCCTGAACGAGAGGTAAATTTTGTTAATTAAATACTTATAATTAACTGTCATATCTTAAGTTAATACAAATTCACATCTTTTTTTATGTAGAAAGTATTATGGGAATTACTGACAATGAAACTTAATCGTCTCACACCTGTCAAGTCCATAGATGCATGGAAAGTGGTATGTAATGTTATTACTATTTTATTCATTGCGTTATACTTTATTTATGTTGTATTTTCAGTTCTTGCAAAGGTGGCGAAAATCTTCTCGCTCAAATGATGAAAATAATTTGAAAGGGATTGATATAAAATTTAAAAAGTATTTGTTACGGCTCGATGCAACTTTCAATGGTACAAGGAAAACTCAAACTATCAAAGAAATTGATACTGAGCTGAAACAAGTTGTAGATCAGAAAAATAAGTTGATCCTAAAAAAAGAAGGCAATACAATGAAAATTATGAAGCTCGAAAGACAAATACAAGAAATAAAGAACGAGAATAAAATGATTCAGACAAATATTCAGCAACTAACTAAACAAAAGACTTTGCTTAATACAAAGAAAACTAAATTAGGAGTATAACAATATAGTTTAATTATATTTAAGCTAACGATAAGGTATAAGCATATTGTGAATTGATGTTCAAAACTTTGTTTGTAGATTAGTTTGTAGAAGAATTATTTCAAACGATATTTCATTCAAATAAAGTCAAGTTCAAATGCATTGACAAGAAAAGGTAATCGAGTTCTATTTTTCTTTTCCGACCGCTCGCGACAGTATTGAAATCGTCCGCCGGATGGCGTCTCGCTGCAGTGATCCGGCCCGCAGTTACCTACTTCAATGTAAACAGTGTCACGTGATCGCCGAGTCCCGAGACAGACCGTTGCCGAACATATGTCAAATGGCTGCGCTTGTCTCGTAACTTTCAGCACGAATCGTTATTTTTTTTATCGACAAGTGCTTCGAGTCAAGGGTAATCGAAAATTTAATTTCTTCTCGTACATTTTAAATCATTTCAAAATTTTTTTGGCATTTAGGGCATTTTTCGGAGCGAACTCTTCGCACACATTTATGAAATCTCTCTGTCGCAGCAGAATCGGACCGTTCTACTATCAGCAGTCAGGATTGCGACTCCTCTCTCTCTCTCTTCGTCGCTCGCGCGCGACCGGCATTAATGAAGCACGAACCGCAAAAACTCGCGGTGGCGCAGAGATAATACGCCGCGTGCAAAAAGTGAATGCCGCGTATTTCGGAGCTCGCTCCGCTGCAGTGCGTGCACGAGTTTCGACATGATGTTGCGAGGGGCCCCCCCTCATTGGACACACGACGAGCCTCATGAATACGTTAGTCGTTTTCTCGAGTACAATTATAATTATTAACATTGTCGGCCGGACTGTGTGTGCATTATAGGCACATGCACGCACACGCTTGGTATACTATACATTTGTATGTACGGGAGCAGATCTCGCGCATCGCAGTTGAATTGCGTAAAAACTATGTACATAACACACAGTACACACATAAGCGAGTGAACGCTCTGTCATTTTCGGTGCACTTCGAAAGTTCAAATGCAATGCGCTGTCACATGTAAATGCTTGGTAAATAGACGGCGGTATATATATAAATGTTACGTCACGCCAGTAATTCCGTCTCGAGAGAGAAAAAAAAACAAGAAGCAATTTAACGTCGTGCGAAGAGCCGTGTATATTATGTACGAGAGCGCAGAGGAGAACGAGAAGGATGTGTTTGGACACTGCGACCGCGACGATATAGTAATCGTTAAAGACGGAGGAAAATTGTCAGACTTATACACACGGATTATTTATTTCGCGAGCCGCGTGTAGACGTTTACGACTATTTGCATTGCATTACACCGCGAGAACGAGATAACGATCTTTGTAAATGCACATTTAAAACTGAATTAATGTAGGGCGCTATATTTACGTGTAAAAATCGATGGACGCATGCCGGCGGGGTCCGCAGCGGCGGCGGCGACGATCGTTTTCATTTAAATGTGTGTCGTATCCTATATATTGTACGCGCGATCGTGTGTTATCGCACTGTCAATTGGCTCGAGCTGCTCGCGACTGATACTCTATGACACAGATCTCGCCTCGACCACCCGAGCCGCGCCGCGGTGGTAATCATAAAATTTTTAAACAGCTACCCTGCACTAGCTCGCGCGCGGTCTCCAATATATAAATGTGCAGTTATTATAATGTACATGGCGTATAATAATACAAGTCGCACCGAGTCCAATGTGCATACATAATCCGTACGCTCGTCTATACATGCAACGTAAGATTTGTCGGCTACTCGGGGCAGCTCTCTCGGAGTCATTTAAGTGCACGCGACTGTATACTCATCGATTAAAAATACACAATTGTGCGCTGTTGCTGGCTTGGCACACATGGGCACACACGCGCACACAGTTGCCACCAGAGAGAGAGAGAGAGAGAACCTCATTATTATCGATCGATGACTCTTTGCCCGGTGCACACATGTATCGTATGCGTCGTATATATAAATTGTATATGATATAAGGAGGGCCGCGACCGCACACTGCACACACACCCACGACAACGTGGGCACGTGCTCGACGAGATTTTTTTCCATTTCCTCGCTCATATTTTTCCTCCAACAAGTAGTATACCATTTATGCATGTGTATAAATATGCACGCGGCCGCTCGTGCGAGCAAGCAAGCATGCCGCGCACACATTGTTGATAATGACTCACACGTTGTGCGGTACGTGCGAGCTTCTCGGATCCATTGCGCTCATGCTGATGTATAAACATGAATTGCAAGTGCGCCGCAGAGCTCTGGTGCATGTGTGGCAAGTGCAATAGGCCGTATCCGTGTTACGTAAGCCGAGAGCGGCCGGCTAAAACGAGGCAAGCTGCTGATGCAGCGGCTGCTGCTGGCCGGCACGATTCATGCGTACAATGTAAATGGAAGCGTTCGCTCTTGATAATGAATAGGCGCCCAACGGACTGACGCTTTTCAATCAGTTTTTACACGATGAATCGCGATAAATTGTTTTGTTTGGAATAATTGACTTTTATTTTCAGAAAAATGTAGAGAAATGGATTTAGAAAATAAAGAGACGAAAGCAGGGCACGACTTTAACGTCGAATCAACGCTGCGACGAGTATATTTGAGAAAAATTAATGTACGCAATTGTCGCGTCAAATTATAGTCTTCGAGCATAAACCAGCTCTCGAGGTTGCGACAAAATAACGAATATTGAAAATTGTCACTCGTGGAGAATTCGTGGAAACATTATCGCTCTCAATGTCGAATTTTTATCCGCAGCTACTTGATAATTTTGTCAAACGCGCGTCTATACTTTTAATCATTTATATTTTGCACGATCTAGAGCCACGAATATTCTTAATGGATGAATCGTAACAAAATCGTGCGAACAGTTCGATTTTGCTACCGACTCGGCAACGATGTCTTTCGCCAAAGTGAAAACAAATATGCCGCGAGAGGATAACGGCCAATTTGAGAATTACGATCCCTTTCGAATGACTCGACTGTTGCACAAGGTAGCCAGGAGTTGGCCGCCGGACGAAAAAAATCATCGGCACGGTATCCTGAGAAAATTTTTGCACGTGTCGCCACCGATCATCTGTATCGTCCTTTACATTTATAATCTGAGCGGATTTATGACAGCAAGAACTGTCGAAGATATATTAGAGTAATATCGATTTTTATGTATCTCTTATAGATTCTCAAGTTTTAGCACTGGTAGAGATACTTGATACAAAATTAGTTACTCAAATAAAATTATCTTATATTTTGTTTCAAGGGTGATCAATTTTGTATCGGTCTTTACAACGGCAACAGGAAGAAATTTCTTACTTGCGTTAACGAAGTTAGTAAAATTCTCTTTATCGATAATTTACTTCAACTACCAGCTCACTGATACGAGAAAAATGTTTGAAGACCGAAAATTCACGCATTGGTCTCAAAGACGATTGAAATGGAAAAAACGAGACGAGCCGATGAATTAAGCTCCATCCAATGTCAAATAATGAAAAAATGGCGAAACATTCACGATAAACTGACCAAGTTTTCAATTTACGGCGTGTGGGTCGGAGCTTTGATGTACTTGATCCCACCGATATTTTTTTCGAAGCTACCTTTTCCTGGCTACTCGACGAAAGGACTTGAAGAATCTAAGTAAGATATTTTTCAATAAATCCATATCGTTCATTCGAATAAAGGGATTGATTTCTTTTTCAGATGGTATCGTGATATTCTGTTATCGACAAATTCTTTCCGTGTCCAATTATTTTTCAGTGTACCAAAGAACAAAAATATCTTAATTTATCCCCAATCAATTTCTCTTTTCTTCACTTATTATCGCACGAAAAATGAAAAAATTCCATGCACTTCATTTACGCCAAAAATGACATTTTACTGTGTTCAGGTTCTACGCGATATACTTCCTACAGTTGCTGTTCGCGTGCATATTCATACCTCCCTGGATATCCGTCGATTTTTACGTCTGTACCTTTCTGTGCACACTCTGCCGAGAGTTGGACATGTTTTACGACGCGATGCAGAATATACGTGACAAAGACAGGTCCTATTTGTATCGAGTTATCGATAGGCACAGCAGAATTTTGACGTACGGCATGGAGGTGTGCGACATCGTGAGCTACTCCTTCGGAGTCGTTCACGCTTCTTACGGCGTTTTTTTGATTTTCGGAACGATAGCCATGACTCAGGTAATGCATTGTCTATGTAAAGTTTGTATGAATTTATCAAGACCAAAATATATTAAAATTTACAACGAGTAAAGAAGCGACATGAATTTAGAACGAGTATATAGAGGTCTTAGCTTCAAATTATATAGAACGTTGTTGCGCGCGTGCGTTGTAATTTTACCCCTCGAAACGACGATTTTCATTTAATTTTCCATATAATAATTTTACATCAGATAAATTGGAGCACCCACGGTGGCTTGGCGATCAGAAACATCATAACGATGATCGTTTGCGCGAGCAGCCTGTCCCTGATGTGCTTCATCGGCGATCTGATCCAGGATCTGTCGACGCGACTGGGCGACTGCATCGTTCTGGACAATTTTCTCGATCGCCGCAAGGACCGAAAATACCTGAAACTCCTCGAGATCGTGCACGCGCGCAGCTGCTGCAGCCTGAAAATCAAGTACTCGCCGAACATGATAGTCAACATGCAGATGTACAGCGTCACCCTGAATTACATACTGTCGATATACACGTTCGCACTGACCGTAATGGCTTGATCCAAGTTACGATTTTCACAAGATGATAATTTATTCGTCCTCCTTTTTTCTTCTTCTACGACTGTCCAGAGACTCGGGAAAGAGATGATGACTATTGTTTTGTTTTCGAACCACGATAAAACTTTTATTTTGTCTCAATTAAAACTTTGTATCACGAACGAGTGTACGGCATTTTCAATGACGATCCCAATGTGACGTGCGCATTAATTGTTTTAGTAGTCATAGAATAAACGGAGCAATGTCAAACTGCAGCAGGTTCTAGTTATTTTATGGCACTGCGTGATCGTGATTTTAATGCGATAAACAATTATCAAGTGCACGTTACTCTTATGTTATAGTGGAAAGTACGACGATCTCGACTTTCAGGTAGCATTAGATCAATTAATTGATATACAATATTAAAAATAGCCTCCGACAAACGATTGAATGAACATGATTAAATCGCGGTCATTGGTGTGTGCGCGCGTATTGCATTTTTTTATCGGCCCGGTGCGAGCGGAGAAAGAGTCCCGATCATACATCAAAAGTGGTAAAAATGACCGTTACAGAATGAAAAGCAATGTCGTTAGCGTCAAGCGCGTGCGAACATCGAAAAACTATGAATAGAAATTCGATCGAGGGGGTGAGTTGTGCGACGAATGTTGACATTTTACTTATTTATAAAGTCGAATGCTTTCTTTTTGTTCCTGCACGTATCAACGTTTTTTTGATTTTAATATAACATCACACTTTGCATTATAAATGTGTGTTGTTTTTACCTCGTATCCATGGAGTAAGGGACGAATATAATAAAAAATTTCTGAAATCCGCAAGAGGTCAAGACATATTTGGCACTTTGTGATAAAAATGATTACAAAAAATATTTTTTAATCGACTGATGGACACTATAGTACTTTTTTTGAATTGAAAGTATAGTTGTTACTTTTTCAATTGTTTTATCTTTAAGGACTGACCGTGAAAAATACTTTACAAATGGTATTATTATTAATAAAGGCGTTCATTCTTAATTTAGGCCCACTCGTACAGTTTTAACAATATTAAACGTAACATTTTTTCACAGCAAGCTTTTTCATTCAAATGATCATTCCGTCATGTAAGAGAGATTGTAGGTCTGCATTTTAAATACAAAAATGTTTGTGCAACGAGAAGATGATATAATCAATGAGACAATAGAGGGTATGGAAAAATTATTATTGTGTAATTTCCTTTGGATCAAGATACCAATGCAAATCTTATTCTTATGGCCACTCCAAAGTAAAAGTAAACAATCTAGTGGAAGATTTCTCTTAATTTTATACTTTTTTGTTTCATTAGTATGTCTGGTAAGTGATTCAACATGATTAGAATCTCATTTATGAAAAGTAATACATTTTCAGGGTTTAATGATGATAGACAGAATCATTAAAGTACACGCAAATGGCAGTATGGTGGTAAAATTTCTATTTTTAATTTCCAATTCTTCACTCGTGATCTTTTTTTATGTTAATTTAATCATGAACTATGGTAAAGTACGTAATGTTATACTGTCTTTGTTTAAAATATAATGATGACATTTGAAAAGGCAACGATACTCCAATTTGATACAATATAATTTTCAGATGATAGCAATACTAACACAATTGACTAAAGTATTCAAAAACCATGATGAACAGGCTAAACAAATAATTTTAAAAAAAGTAAATTATTCTCTATTTATTAGCCGCATTCAAACTGGTATGTTTTTACAAGCGTGAAAATAATTTAAATAAATTTGTAACAAGCTTTTATTACAGTGGCAGTTTTTTTATTATTTAATGTCAGCACCACAATTTTTCCTGTGCTTAAACACATTTGTTTATCGTGGATATTTCCAGAACATCAACAGCCAAAATCTTCGTTACAATTTAATTTGCTATATTTCTTGGACGAAAAAGAGTTCTTCTATGTTGTTGTATCATTCAACATTTTACTTTCAACAATATTTTTTCTACTTCTTACACTGGTGAGTTTTTTTCTTTGGCTAGCCACAGGATTTGCTGTCGGCAATCTAGTTTGTTTTCAGTAAGTATTGTCTATGTTAATATCTAATCAATACAGTTGTTCTTATTAATGAATTTTAAATCTTTTTTCAATCTAGATATTATTTGAAAAAAATAGACATAGAGTCCAAACATAAAATTCATTCTTCGGAAGCTAATTCAAAGGATCTGATGTACAAAAAGTTGAAAAAAATAATTTATAAACATCAAACATTTATGGAGTACGTAACGAATGAATAATATTCCTCTTGAAGTGTTAATTTAAAATTAACAATTTGTAAATACTATTACTTTAAGATTTTCTGGTTGATAATTATCGTCAAGTGATACTTATAAATAATTAAATTTGGGCTACAAAATTAATCTCAATTTCGATGTGAAAACTTTTATAACTAATATGTTCACGTATAAGCTCAAGTCGCCTAATTGTTCTAATTATTTGAGAAATAGTAATTATTAGTTTTAATAATTTCTGGAAAAGTATTAGTAAAACTAAATTTATTTCAATTTATTGGAAATTTTATCATTAATCGAAGTCGATTTCATAGCAATTTTGATAATTTATGTTTTTTATTTTAGCATTTTCGAAAATATTTGTTCTTTTGCAAGTCCTACGTTATTTCTTACTCTTGCTAGTAATGGATTCAACGTAATTATACTTGGTACTTGGGTAAATATAACTTTGTATGATTTCTTATAATATTATCTTGTGTATCAATTAATTTTTTATCTATTGACAAAATATCTATAAAAATTGCATTTATTTAATATTTATCTACTGGTATTTTGTCCCTAAAATATTTTCTGGTAATTTTTTTGAAATATAATATATGGCTCTGGTGATTTTTTGTGAATTTCTGTTTAGATTGTGATATTACTGGAAAAAGACTCACAAGAGTCTTATTATATGTTATTATTGTTTTTTACTATTATGGTAGGAGTTTTTAATGAGTGCATACCGAGTCAGTTGATGAGTAACGCTGGGTACAAATTCTTCAATTGTTGGTAAAAATGATTTAATTATATCTTAAGGTATTAAATTGATCATTTCAACCTAAAAAATTTTATCCAGTTACAGCATCAAATGGTACAATTATCCACCAAAATCTAGGCTTGCTATGTTAATGTTAATGAATAGAGCAATGAAAATCCCCGCGCTAAAGGGAGGACCAATATTTATTTTAAATTTGGAGCTGTTTAGCAAAGTGAGCTAATTTTCTCCATATATTACTTAACTACTTATACTTACTTATATTTACTTATACTTTTGGACCATACCTATCTACCATAAATTACTTATACTTATGTAAATGTATTTTATTTTTACAGATCTTAAAAAGTTCAGTATCATTCATGGCAGCTTTCAGATCATTGTACATTTCGCATTCATTTGAAAGTTGAGCGTACCTGGAAATTGTGGAAAAAAAAGAATTTTAAATCTAAGAAAAATTTGAATAAAAATTATTGAAAAATAAATTCCGTCACCTAATTACCATCTAACTTTTATTAATAAAGATTTATTTGACTATTATCGGATTGAAAGTTTACTTGCGAGTTTTTGATTTTTTGTTCTATTATAAACTATATTTGCAATGACATCCGATTTCCATTTTTGATAATTTTTTTTTTAAATATTTATTCATAAATATTTGATATAAGCAGATTCTCGAGATACACTAAGAAAGCAGAAATTCTGTGATTTAACACAATTGGTCTTGAGCATGATAAACATAGTATAACTTGAGGAACTGTAAGACTTCCGTGCAATGCTTTCATAGTAGTACCCCAACATTTTTAATAGAAGGAAAAAATTTATTCATAGAAAAAAAAGATTCGTCATGGACATATTTTGAATAAAAAGTTCTATTGTCACTTTTTTAAATTTCATTATTTCTTCAAGAACTACCCATGAAAATCGATATAAATTTCATTATTCACGAAGACGTTTATGTTTTATTTAAATAAATGCTTAAAGCTTTAACAATATCAGAAACAACATATTTTCGTATCGATTTTATTCATAAACACTGGACACTTTGACACAAAAGAGATTACCGGTTTTCAATAGAAATACAATTATGGCTATGCAACGTGAAAATAACTTCGATGAGAAGTTCAGCAGACAGATGGAAATATTGCTTGGACCAAAATTATTCTTTTGCGTCAAGAGAATAATGCAATTATTTTTTTTATGGTCGCTCAAAAATGAAAAAATAAAATCTAGTGGAAGGTTTCTCCTTATTTTATTTTTTATAGTTTCATTAGTATGCATGGTAAGTGATTTAAATAGATTAAAATTTCATTTATGAAAACTAGTATGTTTTCAGGGTTTAACATTGTTAAATGAAATCAATAAGGTCGATGTAAATGGCAGTAATGTGGTCATATGTTTATTCATATTTTCGAATTTTTCGCTCGTTATCTTTGCTTATGCTTATTTAATCCTGAACGATGGTAAAGTGCGTAACTTTATTTGCCTAAAATATAATTATGACATACTTGAAAAATTCTACTATACACCAATTTGACAAGACTCCATTTTTAGATGAAAGCAATATTGATAAAAATGACTCAAGTGTTGAAAGACAATGATGACCAGGCTAAACAAATAATTTTAAAAAAAGTCAACAATTCTCTACTTATAAGCCGCATTCAAATTGGTAATAATTTTACTTGCTTCAACGTGATTTGATTTAATAAGTGTCGTTTATTTGTTTATAGCGGTAGTTTTTTTATTTGTCAATATCGGTACAGTGATTCTTCCTGTCCTTTTATCTATTTTGTCATCTTGGACATTTCCAAAACATCAACAACCGAAATCTTCTTCACAATTTAATTTGCTATATTTTTTGGATGAAAACCAATTCTTCTATGTTATTTTTGCATTTAATTTTATACTTTCAACAATTAGCTGTCTATTTCTTGCATTTGCAAGCTATTTTGTTTGGTTAGCAACAGGATTAATCGTCGGAAGTCTCTGCAGCTTTCAGTGAGTATTACTTACATTTATAACATATTAATATGGTCTAATCTAAATAAATATTTCTTTTAATACAATTCAGATATTATTTGAAAAAAATCGACATGGAGTTCGAACACAATGATTATTCTTCTAAAGTAAATGCCAAGGATCTGGTTTACAACGAGTTGAAAAAAATAATTCATAAACATCAAAAATTGATGGAGTACGTTATAGATGAATCAAAAAATCCTTCTAAAAATTTTCGAAGTGAACACATCAAAAATAGTAGTTTCATTATATTTGATTAGCAATTGTAATGAAATGGCTACTGTATTTATCTTCTAGAAAAAATATGTTCCTTTGTATGAGCTCAAAAAGTTATTTTCGAAAATTCGGTGGTATTAATTGGTTTTAATCTTTTTTTGGTATTTTTTTGTATGTTTGAACACAATAGTCAAATTTATTGTCCAAAAACAATTCAATTTTGATTTTGACAATAAATATTTTTACCTTATGTAACAAAATTATTACACGTTGCAGGTTTTTCGAATATTTATGTTCTTTTACAAGACCTATATATATGATAAGTCTTGTTTCTAATGGCTTCAACATAATTATGCTTGGTACTTGGGTAAATATAATATTTTATGATTTCGTCTTATATCGTTTTGAAAATAAATTAATTTTTATGTTTGTTTATAAATAATTTCATACAAAAGGTATTTAAATTATATATTTTTCTGTTTATTTAACATAAAATATATTTTTAATAATAACTTCAACTTTGTGAGGTTCTGAAAATTTTTATGCGAATTCACCTTTAGATTGTGATATTGTTGGAAAAAGACTTACAAGAAGCTGCACATTTTTTATCACTTTTCTTTTCTATTCTGATTGGAGTTCTGGCTTCGTGCATGCCAAGCCAGTTGATGAGTAATGCAGGGTACGAGTTTTTCAATTACTGGTAAATAGTACCAAATTATTTCAACCAAAATATTTGCAAATTTAACCATAATAAATTTACAAGTACTGTTAAGCTTTAGGATCAATTGGTATAATTATCCACCACGATCAAGGATTGCTTTGGTATTGTTAATGAATGGAGCAATGAAAATTCCTGTGCTAGTGGGGGGACCAATATTCATCTTAAATTTCGAAACATTCAGCAACGTGAGTAAAATATTGCCACATATAATGAATAATTTATACTAATTTATTCAATTCCACAGTTTTTCAACAATTCAGTATCATTCATCACAGCTTTTAGATCATTGTATATTTCGCGTGGATAAATAAATCTTTCAGAGCTCAACCCATCGGAAAATCTTAAGAAAATCGATACATGTATTATGAAAATTTGAGAGGGAAACTCGTTCTTAAAGTACTAAACTCGTTATTTAAAAGAAAAAAATTAAATCTATAGATATTGAAATATACCTTTTGAAAAGACAAAAAATAGAAATGACTGCTCAAGTAACATTTCAATCAAATGAAAACAAAATGTTGCTCCATCCAAAGAGATTGACTTTATTTTCTATAAGGTTCGAAGTATGCATTATGTTGGTAACATACACAATGAAATAAATTCGCTATTTGGTTTCAGTGGCTCTTGCATTTTTAGAAAATAAAGTTTTTGAATGAAAAATTCTACTATCAATTTCATTTGTGGAACATCCAATGTGGAACACCAATACTCTTTGGATGGAGCAACATTTTGTTTTCATTTGATTGAAATGTTACTTGAGCAGTCATTTCTATTTTTTGTCTTTTTAAAAGTTATATTTCAATATCTATAGATTTAATTTTTTTCTTTTAAAGAACGAGTTTAGTACTTTAAGAACGAGTTAAGTACTTGTAGTATTTATTCTAAATTAATGAGTGAATTTTAAAGTTCTGTTAGGGGCTTATATACACCTTAAATTCAAAAAAATTTTTTTTCAATTTTTGAATAGGATTTTTTCTCCCCTTTCCATTGCTTTTTTCGAAATTCTAAAATTTTGATTTGGCACTGAGATACAACTGTTTCCGTGAGCCTTTTTCCTATACTTTACGTGTTAAATTTTTTCTTCTTTTGCGTTTTCTGGCGATTAGTGTTTTTGGACACTTGTCGTAATATTCAGAGGGTATCGATTGAGCTTTCTGCACCAGGGTCGGTTACACTTCTTTAGAACATGACTGGTTATGGCTACTACCACGGGTGAGACGACCGAACACACAGGTTGCTCTGCATGAACAGTTAAACACACATTTTTTTTTATTTTTCGTTTTTGCCAAAATTTAAGTCATAAAAGTACGTTTTGAAAATGATCTATGAGCTCAATCGTCTCACCCGTGGTAGTGTCCGTAACCATTCATGTCCTGAAGAAGTGTACGCGACCCTGGTGCAGAAAGCTCAATCGGTACCCTCTGAATATTACGACAAGTGACCAAAAACATTACTCGCCAGAAAACGCAAAAGAAGAAAAAATTTAACACGCGAAGTATAGGAAAAGGGTTCACGGAAACAGCTGTATCTCAGAGCAAAATCAAAATTTTGGAATTTCGAAAAAAGCAATGGAAAGGGGAGAAAAAATCCTATTCAAAAATTGAATAAAAAGAAGTTTGAATTTAAGGTGTATGTAAGCCCTTAAGAAAGCTGAATTATTATGATTGATCAGAAATGCCCACGAGTGTTTTACATTTGAAAAATATTGTACAACTGCAAGTTTGAAGAATGAGTACCGAAACTATGGAATGTTTTAATTATATGAAACTAGATTGCAAACCAGATTTTTCAAACCAAATTTTTTTTCAAATAAAATAAGCATTTTGTATGAAATTACAAGATATTTTTTTACCTAATTTGAATGTCAAGTTTCATAGATACCACATTGATTGATGTTATTTTTTTCAAAGAAATGACAACAAAGAACGTTCTCTTTATTATTATTCATGAATACATTCACTTTTTATTTAAACACATTCTTATAGCCTGAATTACAAAAATACTTAACATTTTATGCAAACGATTTCATCCATAAAAATCACCACTAATGTAAAAGAAATCATGAGTTGCCAATTCAAATTCGAAAATGTGTATGCAACGAGAAGATACTATTAATGAAGAGACCGTTAAGGAGATGGAAATATTGCTCTCGTTGGAATTTTATTGGCATTTTATGGCCGCTCCAAAATAAAAAATAAAGT